TTAATCAATTCAAAGTCACTGAGACTTCTTAAATTTTTATTTGGTGGATGATTGATTTTCATTTTTCATGACAGTGTCTCTGTAGCCTTGACCGTCCTGGAACTCGCTCTTTAGACCAGTCTGTGCCCGAACTCACAGAGCTGTGTCTGCCTCTGTCTCCTGAGTGCTGGGAGTAAAGGCGTGCACCACCACCGCCCGGCTGCGCTGCGACTTTTAAAAATACTTATTTCTGGGGCTGGAGAGATGGCTCAGTGGTTAAGAGCATTGCCTGCTCTTCCAAAGGTCCTGAGTTCAATTTCCAGCAACCACATGGTGGCTCACAACCATCTGAAATGAGAACTGATACCCTCTTCTTGCCTTCAAGCAAACACACAGACAGAATATTGTATACATAATAAATAAATAAATATTAAAAAAACACTTATTTCTGAACTAAAGTTGTCATAGTAATGGTGACCTATTGGTTGCCATTTTAAACGAGACACTTAAGGTCCTTTTTAGGTCTGAGAACACCGGGTCCCAGAGCAGCGGTGGTTAGGACGGTTAGCAGAGCCCTGGGTGTCCTGCCCAGCCACGCGCGGCTCGAACCCAGCGACCCTGCCGCGGGGAACGGTTGCGCTGGGAGCGGGAGGGGCGCCGCCAATCCATTCCTTGGAGTTTGACTGAGCCAGGCTTGGGGGGGGGGGGGGGAGGTCGTTGGAGGAACCGGCGGATCGGCACTCGGCGCTGCGGCCTGGGCCTGGCGGGCCTCAGGCGTGGGGAGCGAGTGAGCGACCGGCCGGTGTGAGGGGGCCTGAGTGAGTGGGGAGGGCGCGTGGGCGAGCATGGCGCGTGGGTGAGGGGGAGGCGTGGGTGAGCAGGGAGCGTGAGCGGGGATGGGGCGCGTGGGTGAGGGGAGGCGTGGGTGAGCATGGCGCGTGGGTGGGCAGGGGGCGTGGACGTGGAGGGCTAGTGGGCAGCTCCGCCTGGCGCCCTCTGCTGGGCGGACTGGTGAGCGCGCTCGACTTTCCTGTCAGTGGGAGGCCTGAGGCGCGGAGCTGTCGGGGTGGGGGTGGGGGTGGGGGGTCCCCGCGAGCACAGGGCCGCGGACCCGGACCGAGGGGTCCCCGCGTGCACAGGGCTGCGAACCCAGAGCCCCGGGTCCATTTTTCCCTCAGCTCCTATCAGATTCGCTGGGGGCGTTTGCGGGGCTCCGTCGTCACTGATGAATGACTCTAGCTAGGCAGTAATCGTGTGAGGACTCGTGCCCTTCTGAAATAAGCATTTGTTTGTTTATTGTGTCGCCTCGGCTATCCCGGAGTTCCCTGTGCAACCCTCCACCTGCTTCAGCCTCTCCTGTTGGCATCACCCACCCACGTCTAAGTACGTTTTTAAATGTGCAATTTTTAAGAAACCCACAACCCGGTAATTTTATACACTAAGTGAAAGATTACAGAGAATGCGATATTAAAGTTGCCAATAGAGTTAGAGAAAGGTGTGTTAACTTCTACAAGCAGCAAACTATGAACTGTAAAAGTGAGGTGATTGCTTACTGCGTTTTGGACTCCATTTTGTGGGGAAACGGTTTTTGTTGTGGCCCAGGCTGACCTCAGCTGAGACCGGCCTTAGATGCTCCTGACTCCACCTTCCCAGGCCTGGATTTTACACTCCCACCACCATGCTTAGATCTGAAATAAGAATTTTGAGGTAATTTAGAATATCTAAATATAACCCTGAAACATTAATTAAAAATTTATCAACTCATGTCAAAATGTGGCAGGGTTTATTTTAGATACTATGTTTTTAAAAAATTATTTATTTACATGATGTAAGTTCCAAATTCACCATCTTTTTAGAGCCTTAATGGTGTGACTACATGAATCTTGAGCTAGAAGAAAAACTCAAAAATTAAACTTAACATTAATTAGGGGTAATCAGTTAGCTGAAATTGTCTTATTTTATAAGTTGGTTGCTAGTACATGCATTCCACAATGAATTTTTATTGATTATATGCTCTCTGTCAGGAACTGTTTTAGGTTATTGAAACACATAAGAAAAAACAATCCCTTCTTTGCAGAGAGAAAGATAAACAACTAAGTACACAGTACCAATTATAGATAAATGTTATAAAGAAAAATAATGCAGGAGAGAGGGATGGGAAATTTGAGATAAAAATTTTACCATAGTGCTTCAGAATAATATATATATTAATATATGTGTGTGTATGTTAATATATATGTGGTGTTTTTATTATGTACTACAATGTTTGCTGTTACTTTGTACTAGAGCTAGAAAAAATTCTTGTGACAGTATTTTCTGTTTATTTAGGTCTTTTTGTATAGTATAACATTTAAAATTAGTTTTAATATGTTTTGTTGTCTTATTTTCTTTTAGAAGAAAAAATTTGATCATACATGATAATAATGAGATTTTCTACTTAAACACTGAGGTAGCAGAGCCATGTAAACCTGGTTTGATGGGTTTTAATAAACTTCTTGTTGATTAAAATACAGTTCTGACGCTAGACAGGAAACATTGCAGCTTCTTGAACAATAAATACCAAGTTGATTAGCATAGGTTTTTCAAATAGCTTTTCAAGTTCTGAAATTGTTTGCATAAGTAGACGTAAAGATTTGTTAGCGTGTTTCAGGATGACTCCCTTGTTCTTTCTGCCATTTTCCTAGGCATGTTATCATGCAGTCAAGATGGTGTTTATAGAATCGTGTTTACTTGTTTTATTTTTTTGCTTTCCTTTTGTTGGTGAGTTTCCGAGAGCTTTGGGGTCCAGCCCAAAGACTCTCTTCAGGGTTCAGATTGGACGCTACAACAGGTGAAAAGAACTTTTTTCTTAGGTTATCTGAGGGTGACCTCTCTCAGTATGTGCTTTTCCTCATCGATCTCTTTATTGTTCTGTTACTATCCTAATTCTCCCGTCCTACTTCTAATTCCTCCTAGCGTTTTTTCCCCTAGTTCTTCTCCTAGCTTCAAAACTTGTCTTCTTACAGGAGCCCTGAAGCAATAAAAAATTACAAGAGTTACCTCTCATTGGTCAGAAGCACATTCCTAGGTTAAGCAATAGGGAGCTTTTAGGACGGAGGCTGTTCATTCATTTCCGGCTGCCCAGACCCTAAGTAATCACACAGAAATTGTTATTAATTAAATCATGGCTCAGCCTATTAGCTCAGGCTTATTAACCTACTATTACATCTTAAATTAACCCTTTCCTATTATTATGTATTTTGCCACGAGGCTCATGGTTTACAGGTAAGGTTCCAGGGTGGGGTGTCTGTCTCCTTCAGCAGCTACAGACAGGTTTTGAAGTGGCTATGGTCCTTGTAGGACAAATAGATCTAGTTATGAAGCATGTCCCAGCACATTGTCTGTACACCAAAATTTTATAGCTAAATGAAAAGTCATCTTCCTGACCACCCACAGATACATGTGCCCACACGTCTGAGATGCAATCATGAGATCACATGTAGACACCACATGAAAATGCATGGTACTGGAGAGACACCAAACTGCTTTAGCAAAAGTGGGCAACAGAGTCCAGGGTTGATGTCCTCCAGACCTGGCCTGGAGTCACTCCTCTGGTGGGCTGATAGCTGGATTATCAGTTGTCACATGCTGTATGTTCCCACAGCCTCTGACAGGGACTGGGTGATTAATACATTGAGAAGAGTAAAATAAATAAGTAAGTATAATCCAAATAACTAAAACAATGAACCCCCCCCCCCCCCAATGTTCTGGTTCAGTAAGAGTCATCCTAAAGTGTGTGCAGGGTTGAGCCTCTCTCCTGTGGCGTCTTGGCAAGATCTGCAGCGGAAATAGCCCTCCTCCTACGTTCCTCCTACGTGTGATTATGTCTTCATTAGAGAACTCTCAGTCCTCCTATGTGTGATTATGTCTTCACTAGAGAACTCAATCTTGGTGACGTATATTCTAACATGAAATGGACTTTTGCCATGAGAACGTATTCACTTAGTTTTTAAAATTTTAATTTCTGTCCTGAGGAGAAGTTATTGACTATCTCATAAGAAATGGAAATGTAATTTATGTTTTATGATTTGTGTATCCAATTTCATGTTTTGACCTATATAAATGTGATTATGTTTTAGGATTTAGAAAATGAGGGAAGTTTCGATGTGTAGTGGGGGTGATAATTAAAATGAAAAATGAGCAGTGTGTGGTTTAAGTAGTGGTGAGGATTTGTCAGGTGAAGAATATACTTTCTGAGCATTCATGCAGTATAAAGACAGGAACACGTGGGAAACAAAGGAACGGACAGGCATTCGTGTAGTATAAAGATGGACCACATGGGGAATCACAGGAACGGACAGGCATTCATGCAGTATAAAGATGGACCACAGGAAAACACAGGAACGGGCAGGCATTCGTGCAGTATAAAGATGGACCACAGGAAAACACAGGAACGGACAGGCATTCGTGTAGTATAAAGATGGACCACATGGGGAATCACAGGAACAGACAGGCATTCGTGTAGTATAAAGATGGACCACAGGAAAACACAGGAACGGGCAGGCATTCGTGCAGTATAAAGATGGACCACATGGGGAATCACAGGAACAGACAGGCATTCGTGTAGTATAAAGATGGACCACAGGAAAACACAGGAACGGGCAGGCATTCGTGCAGTATAAAGATGGACCACAGGAAGACACAGGAACAGACAGGCATTCGTGCAGTATAAAGATGGACCACAGGAAAACACAGGAACGGACAGGCATTCGTGCAGTATAAAGATGGACCACAGGAAAACACAGGAACGGGCAGGCATTCGTGCAGTATAAAGATGGAACACAGGGAAACAGGAACGGACAGAGAATGACGTGTTTCGTGTTGAGGCATTTTCAGAGAATTTACAGAAGACAGAACTAAAGAGTTGCATGTGGCTGTATTTAGAAAACATTCTGGGAAATTAGTGATTCTCATTTACCTGTCTAAAAATCACTTTTACATCCCTGTAAATGAATATAAACCTTTTCTTGTATCTTGTAGATTTCAGACAGTCTGGTGTTTAGCAATGCCGAAATCAAACGATTGCTTGTTCCCCCTGGATAATTTGTTTTTCAGCAGCCCAGATGAAGCTGGAAAGTAAGTGTGCCTGAAACAAGGGTCGTGCAATGTTTTCTTTTCAGTTTTATGATTTTAGGGGCTTCCAATTTTTCATACTTATGAGATTAATCTAGAATATAGTAATGGTGACATTTACGTGTTGATTACCTGTAGTTATTGGTGAGGTATGTCATAAGTGGTTGTCTGCTGAAGCTGAGTGAGGGGACAATGGAACGGGGTCCAGCTCCCATTAAGCTAGTGTCCTCACACAGCAGTGTGTGTCAGTCCTGTGACACAGGGACAAGATGAGAGCATTGCCATACAGGGGAAAAGCAAAACCATGGCAGAAAACTTATTTACAAGAGTTTGTGTAACATGAGGGCCTGCTTGTTGGGGTTTCTGTCCTTCTCGGTTCTACACAGGGAGTCTAATGATAAACTGATTGGCCCATTAGCTCAGGCTTCTTATTAACTCTTGTAACTTATATTAACCCATTATTTTTATCTGTGTTAGCCACATGGCTTGGTACCTTTTTCAGCAGGGCAGGTCATATCCTGCTTCTTCTGTGGTCTGGGCAGGACTGCAGGAAGAGCTTCCTTCTTCCCAGAATTCTCCTGTTCTCATTGTCCCACCTCTACTTCCTGTCTGTTTTTTTTCACCTATACTTCCTGCCTGGCTACCAGCCAATCAGCATTTATTTAAAATATAATTGACAAAATAAAGAATTGTCCCACACCAAGTTTGTATTTGAGTCATGTTTAATAAATAAGTGATTTTTGATAGCCTGTCCTTATTAACATATATTCACATTTTGTTTTCTATGTAGCTTCCCAGTTAAGGGGAAATCACTGGATTGGTTTCTCCCTCCAGCTCCACTGATTTCAGAAATTCCAGATATTCAAGAGTTAGAGGAAGAAATTGAAAGTCATAAACTGTTAGGTAAATTATCATGTTTATTGTGAAGTCAAACTTGTATAGTTGATGCCAGTATAAAAAAACCTACTAGCATATTAAAGTATTAATTCCTTTTTTCACGTGTCCATCAAATCTCAGGATCTAGAGCATTTACTTCTATAAACACACTCACATACAACACACCACACTGCCACACTCTTGTGTGTAATGCTGCTGACACACTCACAGAGTACAACACTGTCACACACTACAAAAAATTTCTCTCCTAAACAAGCACATTCAAATAATGTATATTTCTTATACGATAATATTCAACACTTTAATGTTTTAATATGGCTCATAATTTATATATGTTTGCATATGAATTTTTTTATGCTGGGTTCACTGTGTAGATGAGGTCTGTCTGCCTCCAGAAATAAGCATCTTTGTTTTATGACTGCAGTGTACAGATTATAGTACTATTGCACTGAGTCTTTCAATTCTTGTATTTATCTACTAGGCTCTTTAGAAAAATTTGAACTTTGTTATGTTTATTTAGTATCTGTGTGTATGGGAGCTACTACCACAGTGTTTGTGAGGTCAGAGGATAAATTATAGAAGTCACTTTCCTCTTTCCACCATGTGGGTCCTGGGGCCAGAACGCAGGTTTTCAGGCTTGACAGCAGATACTTTTACCCACTAAGCCATGTCACTGGCCTCCTTTAGAAACTTTTAATTGAGATTTTCTGTCATTATTTAGAAAATTTCTTTTCACAAAGAACATGGAATATGTAATAATTAATAATTAGTATATTTCTTTTCTTGTAGGCCAAGAAAAGGTACCAAAAATGTTAACATCAAATTTGAAGATCATTAATGAAGACAAAAAGTGTATTTCACCAACACAAAAATTCCATTTTCCCTATAATATGGGTACACAGGACTACCTACATGTAGGAGGCTCAAGTAACAATGACTCATCCCATATTGCTGGCAAGCTGGTGTATAGCTCGTCTCAGAGATATAAAGACCACGTGGGCGCTAAGAATGGTCCTGGTGATTCAAAATCACCTAATGTCGCAGAGGATAGAGGAGAGTGGACAACAGCATTCAAAAAAAGGTAATTAATAGTTACATGATACTCTGAGCAAATCTGAGTACTAGGTGTACGCTGAACAGAATTACATTCAATAGGAGGTGGGTGAGAAAGACAGCAGCAACATAGTCCATGATCTGACATTACCAGGCCTGGAGTCCACTCCTAGGGACCTACGTTCCTGCCTTTCAGGAGCTGACATTACCAGGCCTGGAATCCACTCCTAGGGACCTACGTTCCTGCCTTTTAGGATCTGACATTACCAGGCCTGGAATCCACTCCTAGGGACCTATGTTCCTGCCTTTCAGGAGCTGACATTACCAGGCCTGGAGTCCACTCCTAGGGACCTACGTTCCTGCCTTTCAGGAGCTGACATTACCAGGCTGGAGTCCACTCCTAGGGACCTACGTTCCTGCCTTTCAGGAGCTGACATTACCAGGCCTGGAGTCCACTCCTAGGGACCTACGTTCCTGCCTTTCAGGAGCTGACATTACCAGATGTGTGTATTAGTTATTTTTTGTTGCTGTAATGAAGTACCATGACCAAGCGACTTTCATAAGAAAGTGTGTTTGACCCCTGTTCCAGAAGAATAAGATTGTGTCATGGTAGGGGCTACAACAGCAGGCAGCAGGAGATCAGGTCAGGAAACTGAGAGCTAACATCTTCAGATGCAAGCACAAAATAGAAAGAGAAACCCGGTGGTGGCTGAGGTGGCTGCGTCATCTAAACCTCCCCAGGCTGCACCGCCAGCTGGGAACTAATGTTCCAGTATCAGAGCCTGGGGGACACTTCTCATTCAGACCCCCACAGTAGTATTTGGGGAGTTTAGTTTGTTAATATACTTAGCTCATGGAGCTAGAAAGATGGCTCAGTTGGTCAGAACACTGACTGCCCTTTCAGAGGACCCAAGTTCAACTCCCAGCACCCATATGGTAGCTATCAACCATCTGTAACCTTAATCATAGGTTATATCTTCTGGCCCTCCATGGGCATTGCACACACATACACACACAGAGAGAGACACACACACACACCACGTGAATATAGGCAAGGTACCTGCACACATAAAAATTTTAAACATCTCAAAAAATTCTTTAAATAAAAAGATAAGAATAAATATACTTAGTTTACTTCTTTTCCATTTGTAGGGAAAGGAAGTTGGGTATCCAGTACAGATGTGGTTGACCAGGAACTGTACTTATGAATATATGTATTAGCATCTTCTGGCACAGATGGCATGATTGATAGTTATCATATGCTTTACAAATGAGAAGTTTTGCTTGTCAGTAATATCCTTTCAATTTGTAGATAACAGGCATCTTCTCTGTCTGGTCATGGCTGGGGTTCTCTCCAGAGAAAACACACACACACACACGACTGTGTTAAAGACAAAATCCTATTTCATAACCTAAAGACCAACCTAAGGCTAAAAAATAAAAAGAAATATGACTGAAGGCAATATATAAAAATGGGAGGAAAAACTGTCCCTTTAGAGCATTGGTTCTCAACCTGTGGGTCATGACCCCTCTAGGGGTTGAATGACCCTTTCACAGGAGTGACCTAAGGCTATTGGAAAACACAGGTATTTACATTACGATTCATAATGGTCAAATTGCAGTTATGAAGTAGCAATGAAAATAATATGTGTGGGGCCACCACACCCTGAAGACCTGTATTAAAAGGTCGCAGCATTGGGAAGACCGAGAACCTCTGACAGAGAGTACTTACAGAACTACATGCTAGACTGTGGCTGGATCACGGTCAGTTCTGACTCAGTGCCTCAGCTTGTAGATCATAAAGCCTGTGACTAAGAGACAAGGATCACTGGATCCATCTTGGAGACAAGCTGTCATAAAATCTTAGATGAGTTTTAGGAAAATAAAGAGACATATCAGTGATAAATTGTAGTTATGGATATTTTAAGAGGGTATTTTGTGCTAGTTTGTAAGCAACTGTTAGAAGCAGAAAACGTGGGGTGTTTTTTTTTTTTTCAGGTTATTTAGAACATATGGCAAAATACATGAATGTGATTGTGCTAATGAAATTATAAACTTGGATTCTCATGTTAGCCCAGTGAAACTTACCCAAACAAAGTTAAACAAGGAGAAATCATGGCACGGTAGCAACAATAAACAGAAACTTCAGTATTCCACAAATAAAGGGAAAGCAAAAGACGGGTTTCCTGCTTCTGAAACTGGAGAAAACATATTCGAAGTGCCGGCCTTCTCCATCGCATCCCAGCCTCGTGACGTTCAAGGTAATTGCTTATCAGTTGCTTTTTGTGAAAATGTAAACTAATTTGCATTTCTTAGCATAAGGAAGAATACAGAATAGAGTAAGTTTTCTCTCCATGTGCAATTTATGCATTTCTTTATTGTTGCATTATTTATAGCTATATCTTAATATTCTTCACTTATCTCTTAGTAAAATGTTATACAAATTTTATTGGAGTTGTTTTATGGAAATGGTTAAAAATATCCATATAAATATGTGATATCTTTTGGTTTTAGGTATAACTCCAAGTGGCTTAGGTTCCTTGAAGGCTGTCACAGAAATTCGTATCCTTTATTTTAAAATAGCTACTTTATATTTATGAAATTGTATATTTAAAATATTTCATTTCATTGTACTCCTGTGTGTTTATTTGGTTAGCATAGAAAAAGATGGAAAAGTAAATATTTTGGGCCATGTAAGAGATACATTGTATGCTAATCAGTGCTACTCCAAGTGTGGTGTGCAGGCTGGTCCAGTCAGAGAACTATTTTCAGTTTGACAATTTAAGCACAGAAATTTGCTTACATTAGATGGTGGGATAAGAATAGAGATATTGGGTTAAATCAAATAGGGGAACTTAAAGCAAATGGACATTTTGTGGATTTGAGTACAATTTTGCTGTTTTAGAGGGAACCTCATTTGGACGTTGCCTATGATCAAGTTTGCATGTTTGGGCATTTCTAATGTGATACCTGAGTGCATTCAGATTATTCTGGTGGTAATATCACTGTTACATCTGAAAAGCAGAAAGTAAATTTCAGATATTGAGCAGTGTCTTTGTTACTTTTCTACTGCTGTGATAAAACTCCATGACCAAAGCACTTTATAAAAGAAAGCATTTAATTGGGCTTCCAGTTTCAGAAGGTTAAGAATCAACCATGGCAGGGCAGAGTGGCAAAGCATGTGAACTCACATCTTGATCAGCATCTGGAAAGCAGAGAGCCTAAGAATGGCTGGAACCCACCCCCATTGACACACCTCCTCCAACACCTCCTAATCCTTCCTAAACAATCTCACAAACAGAGAACAAATCTCAGAATCAAGTAAAAACTGGATTGGCATGGTAGCCTGTCACAGAACTAGAAAGGTGGAGAAAGAATCACCAGAGCAAGCTGACCAGCAAGCTCCAGTTTTAGTAAGAGTACCTGCCTCAATATATGAAGTAGAGAGCTAAGAAAAAAAAAATCACCTGAAGTCAGCTTCTGGGGCACCACATTGTGGTAGATTGAAAGAAAATAGCCCCCAAAGTGAGTGGCACTATTACAGGTATGGCTTTGTTGGAGGAAGTGTGTCACTATAGGGGTGGGCTTTGAGGTCTCCTAGCTCAAGCTACTTCCAGTGTCACAGACCACTCACTTCCTGTTGTTTCTGAATCGAGATGCAAGGATTCTTAGCTCCAGCACCATGTTTGCCTCCATGCCACCATGTCCTACTATAATAACAGTGGACTGAAGCTCTGAAACTGTAAGCCAGCCCCTATTAAATGTTTTTCTTTATAAGAATTGCTGTGGTCATGGTGTCTCTTCAAAGTAATAGAAACCCTAACTGTTGCACCAGTAAAAGGGAAACATAAATACTTTCATAGTAGGCGATTAACTATTATCTAGTTAGTCCTAAACATCCCATCTCTGAGGACTAGCTTTCATAGTACCAGAAAGCACCATGCAAGCTTCCAAGAGGGAGCAACCAACCGGTCAGCTGTGACGCCTGTGCACCACATCAGCAACCAGCACAGCACATGAACACAAGGTGCAGTGTGGCTCATATACCTTGTAACCAGCAGCTCAGAAGACCTGCTCCGTGAGAGAGAAATCATGCTGATCCTGGAAACCTAGCTCGCAACTCAGTGAAGTCATGGATCTCAGAGGAGAACCTGCCAGCATTCTAAACTTTACCTACAGATACCTTAACAAGGAAGCTTGTAGTGTGAATTCTGTTTGGTCCTAATAATAAAAACCCAGAGTCAGATATTGGGGTAAATGCTGAGAGATCAGAGAAGTAAAGGAGCCAGCCACTAAAGAGACCTTTTGCCTCTATCAAATCCTCGGACCGAAGGGAGCAAAATCCTGCTCTACAAATCCTCAGACTGAATCCTGAGCTCCTGTCTCTTGCTTTATAGCCTCTCTCTGCCCAGCCATATCACTTCCTGTCTCTACCTCCTTAGTGCTGGGATTAAAGCCTTCACCACCTGGCTCTGTTTCTCTTTCAGATTAGATCAATCCTGTGTAGCTCAGGGTGGCCCTGAACTCACAGAGATCCGTCTGTCTCTGCCTCCTGAGTGCTGGGATTAAAGTGTGTGCCACCACTGCCTGGCCTCTGTGGCTAACTAGTGGCCTAGTTCTGCGCTCTGATCTCAGGCAAGCTGTAAATGTTAGATCACAAAATATCACCACAGAAACTTCTCTTTGCAGCAGACAGAGTCTATTACAGAAAACCACAACCAATCAATTTGCAGAGTAGTGGGGTCCAGTCCCAATGAATACATCTACAAAACACTCCCACACTTAGGGCTCAAAGAATATTGCAGAAGAGGAGCAGAAAGCTTGCACGAGTTTCCTGTCAGAGTGTGGCTCCTAGTAACTGTACTCATGAAGTTCAGGCAGCATGGCGACCCAAACATGAGCTGAACAAGGATGCCACCCACAGACATGGCAATGTGGATGGGGAAATCCCAGGAAGCCTAACCCTACATGAGGAACAATAGGCAGTTGAGGAAGGCTGGGAGGGGAGAGCACACCAATCGTTTGTTCAGTGCCAACAACCCTGAAGACATATACACAAATAACATCATATAGGCTGAACAGGCAGTTTTTATAAATGTATATTATGTAGACATATGCGTACAATGATGGTGAAAAGAGGCCATGGATTGAAGGAGGGCGGGGGCGGGGTATATGAAAGACTTTGGAGGGATAAGAGGGAAGGGAAAATTTAATTGTTTCTCAAAAATGTAGTTAAAATATTTTCTGATTAGCTCTATGATGGGAAGTTCTTTTGTTAGAAACATGCTCATAATTTAGTACTATCCTTTGACAAGTTTTAAAGACTTTTCATGTTAAGGCAGCGCACTGAAGCAGTGCTACAGGCACCAACTATCTGTATTTATATCCACTGGCTTATTTTTTAACAGCTTCCTATACAGCCAGATCCACTGATCTGGTGTACTTCGTTATTTAAAAGTATGTGTTCAGAGTAAAAGACAGAAGAGTTTGTGGGTTGCTTAGACTTGTGTATTTGCAGTTCTCTCTCAGTATGTTGCTCTTGGTGAGATTGCTCTGGCTGTCGTAGCCAGCTCAGTTGTGCAGACATCCCCAGGGTAGCAGTACCTGCAGTAGTGCTGAAACAAAAGAAAAATGTGATGTTGGGTGCTCACCGCGATGAGAGATGTTGTATTTAATGGCAGAGGTTTGTCGTGCACTGGGAGACTGAGTCTGCCTGTACTCCAAATCAAAGATTCACTTCTGTGAATGTAAACTGATGCAGACCTACTTAATGAGAGAAAACCCAGCATGATTGGCCACTCCTAGGCTTGTTATGAATAAATATTTTATATGAAAAAACTTCCTTGCAGGAAAATGGGATTCTTTAGAATGCTGATGGACTAACTCTAAATTTTGTGGGTTTTTTGTCACATATTTTCAAATATGTTTTTTAAAGCTTTTATTTTCACTTGTGTTTGTGTGTGTAGTTGTCTGTATATATTATAGCATGTGGAAGTAAAATGAAGATTTAGAAATTAACCATTTGGTTTAATAAGTGCAAACCTACATTGTTAGGCACTGTTCTGGACTTATGGGATATGGCAATTAAGAAAAGAGAGTGAATCTTTGTCCTTGAGTTACTATTTTCACTGTGGAAGACCGGGGAGAGATAAAACTGAACAATAGCACTGTGTAAAATGTCATATGATATTTTAGAAGGTGATGAGTTCTGTGGGAAAAGAAAAAGTAGAGTAGGAAAAGAATTAAATTGAGACTGCTGGAATTGAAGGCTGAAGATACAGAATTTAATAAAACAAACAGGACACACCTAAGATGGTGAGGAGTGAGCAATAAGATGGAAGAATAAAGGAAGTTGGGAGAAGAATGAGGCATGGGGCAGAGGATGATGTCATGGCAGGTGTGAGGCTGATGATGTCATGGCAGGCGTGAGGATGATGATGTCATGGCAAGCGTGAGGTTGATCCGTTGGAGAGTGCAGGAGAGGAGTATGAAGTCAGAAGAAGAGGATCAGAAATCAGAGCAGTAAGGGCTGGTGGGAGATGGGATGAAGGGCCAGGGGGAATTTAGACAGAAAAGTCATATAATCTGTTTTAAAAGCATTACTGCAGCAACCCACGAGTATTTAAATCCCTCAAAAATACTTTTTAGACAACTATGTTCTTTCAAATATATGTTTTAAAGGTTTTATATTTTCATTTGTGTGTATGTGTATGTATGTATACCTGCTTGTATGTATGTGTATGTATATGTGTATGTGTGTATACCTGTTTGTGTGTATGTGTATGTATATGTGTATATATGTGTGTGTATACCTGCTTGTGTGTATGTGTATGTATATGTATATGTGTGTATACATGCTTGTGTGTGTATGTGTGTGTATATACCTGCTTGTGTGTATGTGTATGTATATGTGTGTATACATGCTTGTGTGTATGTGTATGTATATGTATATGTGTATGTATGTATACCTGCTTGTCTGTATATGCACTACCTGCATGAAGATGTCCGTAGAGGCCAAAAGAGGGCAATGGATCCCCTGGAACTGGATCACAGGTGTTTGGGAGCCACATGATTTTGGTGCTAGGACAGAATTCGGGTTCTCTGCAAAAGCAACAGTACTCTTAACTAGTGAGCTGCTGTTCCTGCCCCAGTGCGTCCTGAAGGCCTCACTTTAGGGGCTCCTTTTCTGTAGTGTCCTACATCTAGTAGTGCCAATAAATGTAGCTGACCAGCTGCAACTTCATACAAAGAGTGCCATTAAAATATCCTGAGTCTGGCAGTAGTGCCTCACCTTGGAGATGGGATAATTATTTACTAGCCTGTTAAAATTTTTAAACTTTGTAACAATCCAAGTTCATTTTACTGAGCAAATATGCTGATAATTATAATTAAATCAAACAACACAAATAATATAAAAATGCAGAGATTCAAGATTAACTAACCAGAATCAGAAATGCAGTAAAAAACAGTTAATAAGTGAAAATTTGAACATTAACAGCAACATAAAAATTAAGTGTCTTAGTCAGGACAAGAAATAGACCAAGAATAGCTCTAACAGGCATGTCTCCATATGTTCATATCTCCATCATAGTTAACTCTCAAACTATATTCCTTTTATCAGGCATGTTTAGAATAAGGAATGTGGAAGCAGAGTAGAATAATTTCCATTACTTTTATTTTACCTTTAAAAAATTGTATTTTATTTGTGTGCGTATTTTGCCTGCATCTGTGTATGTTGCACCGCATGTGTGCCGGGTGCCTGGCAATGTCAGGAGAAGGCATCAGGTTCCGTGTAGCTTGAACTTTGGCTATGAACCACGATGTTGGTGCTAGGAATTGAGCCCGACTTCTCTGCAAGAGCAAGTGTTCTTACCTGCCCAGTCGTCTCTCCATCAATTCTCAAGGTGCCAAAACGCAATTGTTAAAACCTTCTCATTGGATAAGGACAATAGCATTAAAACTGAGTTCTTAAATTAAAAGTAAACATTTCTAAATTCTGAAATATTTAACTCCTTAATGTTATTCTAAGCAGCAAAATTTAGGAGTATATTCAAAGAATTCCCTTACTTCAACTATATACAATCCAAAGCCTTTGATGATGTAAGTATTTTATAATTATTTACATATCTTCTCTTCTCACTAACTGTGACTCTTTGAGGAGAGGGAATAGTCTCTACCACATTCAATTACTAGCACCTTTTAGGAGATTAGAAAATCCTTGTTAAATGAGTGCATGTGAGTCACATTGGTGGACTACTTGTATTTGCTAAGTTCATTATAATTTCTCTTAAGGGTAAAGGAGTGGTTTTCTCTTAGATCCAGCATTGATTTTGACAAAATAGTATGATATGGCAGAATATGTTGTTTTTGAGGTTGAAATGTCCAGCACAGGACCACACTTAGCAATTGTAGAGGTAAACATATTTGAAGCAATATTTCTAATCTTAAAGCATGTTTTCCAGAATATTGAGAATATAAATAAAAAATTCTATATATTAATAATCTGTTGACTTTTTTTCTCTCTTAGCTTCTTTACACAGATAGGAATTTTGTGATTTGTGCCCCCACTGGTTCTGGGAAAACTGTAGTGTTTGAACTTGCAATAACTAGATTGTTAGTGGAAGTTCCATTGCCATGGTCCAACATGAAGATTGTTTACAGTGAGTATATATTATAAAAATGTTGATTAATCATAATCAGAGAGTGAAGCAGAAATGAAGTCAATTCAGAGCATAGAGATTATCATTTGGTACAGCTTGGTAGCTCATACATTAAGAAGTGTTATTAATTTATGTGTTTGTGGTACTCTGAATGAACCTATAGACAAGTGCTCAGTGCCTACAGGGTCTTTCTCTGCTCCTGTGTCTGGTGTAGACGCTGAGCTTGGGGAGGGACTTGCACATGCTAGGTAAGAGCTCTACCACTGAGTTGTAGCTCTGACCCTTTGTACATTTTAATAGGAACATGCCACAATTAGCTTCATCTGTTATATTAAATTTGAAGCACCTTTTCCCAGAATTGTACATAAAAATAGTATTTGAGTTGAGGTTTTGAACTTTACATTTTAAAAAAGAGGACAGTCAAGATGTGGTATAGGAGATCCTTCTATCTATGTGTTGCTTTCATTGGTTAATTAATAAAGAAACTGCTTGGCCTGATAGGGCAGAACGTAGGTAGGCGGGGTAGACAGAACTGAATTCTGGTAGGAAGAGAGCAGGTACAGAGATTGCTGCCACAGAGCTAGCCGCCAGGTCAGATGTGCTGAATCTTTCCTAGTAAGCCACGACCTCGTGGTGAAATACAGATTATTAGAAATGGGTTAAATCAAGATTGAGAGTTAACCAATAAGAGGCTAGAGCTTATGGGCCAAGTAGTAATTTAATTAATGCAATTTTGTATGGTTATTTCGGGGGTTAAGCTAGCTGGGTGGTGGGATGCGGCTCATACCTTCTACAACAAAGATGAGCAAATAATCATATATTTCTCAATTGTAGAATTTTGTATAGAAACATTTGTTTCCTCTTTTGGGTGTATATTTCATAAGACTCCCCAAGTAGTGTATGCATGCAATGTAAAGAAATGACTGATCACAGAACGCTTCATAGGAAAAAGCGACAATCACTTGTCCATCTCTCCCCATCTTTACATGGCCTGAGCGGTCACTTCTGTTTCAAACTTAGCTCTTCTTGGTGAGCTTACTTTTTAGCTTACTGTGTTTATTACTTTAACAATATTACATAGCAATAATAAATACACACTTATTTTTAGACAAATTTATTAACTAGAGCTTGAGAAAACAATTTTAAAATTGCACTGGTGTTCAAAATAAATGTATTATTTTAGTGGCACCAATAAAAGCCCTTTGTAGTCAGCGGTTTGATGACTGGAAAGAAAAATTTGGATCATTGGGCTTGAATTGTAAAGAACTTACTGGAGATACAGTAATGGATGACCTATTTGAGATTCAACATACCCATATAATTATGACAACTCCAGTAAGTATTATTTGTTTCATTATTTACTTGAAAATAAATTTGTTTGTCTTCATTAAGAAAAAAATTTTTTTTTGAGGCATTCAAACATTAACTCTTTATTCCCCACAGTGACTTTCTTTTTTTTTTATTGAGAAAAGGAGTAAAAAAAAAAAAACAAAACAAGTTTCCACCTCCTCCCAGCCTCCCATTTCCCTCCCCCTCCTCCCACCCTTCTCCCCCTCCCCCCACTCCTCTCCCCCTCCCTCTCCAGTCCAAAGAGCAGTCAGGGTTCCCTGCCCTGTGGTAAGTCCTAGGTCCTCCCCCCTCCGTCCATATCTAGGAAGGTGAACATCCAAACTGGCTATGCTTCCACAAAGCCAGCACATTAAGCAGGATCAAAACCCCGTGCCATTGTCCTTGGGTTCTCATCAGCCCTCATTGTTCGCCATGTTCAGAGAGTCCAGTTTTATCCCATGCTTTTTCAGTCACAGTCCAGCTGGCCTTGGTGAACTCCCAATAGATCAGCTCCACTGTCTCAGTGGGTGGGTGCACCCCTCGTGGTCCCGACTTCTTTGCTCATGTTCTCCCTCCTTCTGCTCCTCATTGGGACCTTGGGAGCTCAGTCCAGTGCTCCAGTGTGGATCTCGTAGTTAGTCCTTGACTTGTGATTATTTCAAAGTCTGGAGACCTTGCATTTTAGGACTCTTAAAATCACTAACTATTAATCCATGACTCTTTGGGAGAAATTTTAAGGAATCAACCAAAATGTTTCCTTGTTTGTAATATGTCTGATAAAATTTATCAATGTCTTAAACAATATTTGTAGTTCCTTATCAGAATAAACTGCTTGTGTTTTTTTCTGTAGGAGAAGTGGGACAGCATGACCAGGAAGTGGAGAGACAACTCTTTAGTCCAGCTGGTTCGACTGTTTCTCATTGATGAGGTAGTGAATGCATTCACTTTCAGGGATAAATATAGAATGTTATTTAAAATGGATAGAAAGAAATGACATTTTCAGTAAAATAATGTTTTTAGTTCTTCAAATTGGAAAATATGTATTTTTCCAGGGGAAAAATATTGGGTATTTTGATTGACTAATTAGATTTTTGGTTTTATTCCTAATGATTCCTTCTTGATTTCTTACCTAGGTGCATATTATAAAAGACGAAAACCGTGGTCCAATTCTTGAGGTTGTTGTTAGCAGAATGAAAACTGTCCAGTCTTCATCTAGGGCTTTGCAGAATGCCAGCCCTGTCCCTATGAGATTTGTAGCTGTGTCTGCAACCATTCCCAATGCTGAGGACGTAAGTCACAATCTTTACTTGCTTCATGTTGCATTATGTATGGAGTATTTAGTCAATTCGATCTCAGAGGAGATGGAACTTTCTGTCAGTCACTTAATGAATTGTAATGATATTTTCTTTGTATTTTAATAAACAAAGCTTGCCTGAAGATCAGAGTGCAAAGCTAAGACACTAGACATCAGGCAGTAGAGGCTCACACCTTAATCCCATGTTTGGGAGTCCAGGCATAGGGAGGTAGAGACAGGAGCCATATGGGTGGGTGGAGAGAGGAATATAAAGGGGAAGAGACAAGAGCTCACTGGAGTGTGGAATCTGAGGTTTGGTGGAGACAGAGTACAGTCTAGGTAGTCTTAGGATTGCCCCTTTGATCTGAGCATTAGTAAAGGTAAAAGGTCTATTTAGTGGCTTACAGCTCTGCTTTTCTGGTCTCTGAAATCTATAGGGGTTAAAGTGGAAGATCAACGATTACTAATCTTGACTGAGAGACCTTTTACCTCTAATGAACGTTTGGGTGCCATTTGTAGACAGAAGTTTCTATCCCACCCAGTCCCGTATCCATTTAGTCCCAAAGAAACAAACAGAGGTTTATATTGGTTTTAAACTGTTTGGCCTATTAGCTCAGGCTTATTACTAACTAGCTCTTACAACTTAACCCATAATTCTTGTCATGTTTAGCCACGTGTCTTGGTACTTTTTCTCAGTAAGGCATTCTCATCTTGCTTCCTCTGAGTCTGACTTGTGACTGTGTCTCTCCCTTTCCTCTTCCCAGAATTCTCTTAATCTATTGCCTTGACTAAACTTCCTGCCTGGCTACTGGCCAATGGGCATTTTATTAATTAAACTAATATGAGTGACAAATCTTTAGAGTGTGCAAAAGTATTATCCCACAGCTTAACTGAGACCAAGGGGTTAGCCGCTGGATTTTTCTTATTCACACTACAATAAATTTAGTATATGTAGAAGGTTAATGCTAGATTTCATTGGTATAACAAAATTATGGCCATAAAATTTGATAAAATTTAATAAAATATTTTCAATGCAATGCAAATCTGTTACTTGCTTTTATCTAAAATTCCTAGTTTTCACTTATTTTGGACACCTTGTAACTTGGATAGTAATGTGTCATGATCATTGAATGAGCTGACTTTTTTTTTTTGGTTTTTTGAGGACAGGGTTTTTCTGGGTAACAGTCCTGACTGTCCTGGAACTCTTTCTGTAGATCATGCTGGACTTGAACTCACAGAGATCTGCCTGCCTCTGCCTCCCCAGTGCTAGGACTAAAGACATGCATCACTACCACCCCGGCTAGAATGAGCTGACTCTTAATTGTACAATAGAATGTGGTGACCATCCACTCCCTCATCCTGTGCCCTGTGTGTGGCAGCATGAGTGGTTGTTTCAAAAGGACAAATATGTGGACTTGTCCTTAGGTGACCACAAGGGTGATTTCATGGTTATTGGACATGGTGTTTAGACCAAGAGTTGTTTGCTGTATTATACTTTCTATAATAATATATGACTTTTTCCTTAATTCCTAAACAATCTTTTCTTTTTATTATATGTGTATAGGTGTTTTGTTTGCATGTATGTTTGTGCATGTTTGGTGCTCTTGGAGGTCAGAAGAAGGCATTGGATCCTTTAGAACTGGAGTTACAGATGCTTGTGAGCCACTGTGTGGTTGCTGGGAGTTGAACTCAGGTCCTCTGGAAGAACTGCTAGTGCTCTTAACCTGTGAGCCATCTCTCCAACCCCTAGGCAAACTTCTTAAAAGCTAGTATATGGCCTTACTGTTTGTCACTCCTGTTTACTTCGCAGCCTTTTATGTTTTGGGTACTACTTAGAAACTATTTTTGTAAATAGTTGCTATATTGTCTCTTCCAATAGCAAATTTTGTTTTTTATCTTTAAGTTTCTTCTTAAAATTACAACTGGTTTTGTTCATGTTCAAGAACAGTATAGAATTTTTTAAGCAGGTAGACAGAATATAGATGGCAAAAATTTCTGTGCACACAGATAAGCACTGGAGAAGCCAGAAAAAGTTGAACACTCAGATTATTGCTTCAAAGGAATGAGGTTGTAACTGGAGGTTTCTGTCCTACCCACCAGTCCCTAAATAACCACTCTGAGGATTAATATTAATTACAAACTGTTTGGTCTATTAGCTCAGGCTTATTACTAACTAGCTCTTACAACTTAAATTAACCCACTTTTATTAGTCCACATTTTACCATGAGGCTCATGGCTTGTTACCTCATATCTTGCTTCCCCAGTGACTACTGGCATCTCTCAGACTGTGTCTTCTTTTTCCCTGTATCTTTGTTTGGATTTCTCACCTGGCTGTATTCTGTTTAGCTACTGGTAAAATTGGCTTCTTTATTATTAACCAATATAAAACATATTCATATCATACAGAAGGACATCCCACATGGTGAGGTGCTTAACTGTTTCTCCTGGAATGCTGGGGGAGAATCTAGTTTATAACTAGATCCTTTGTTACCTGTTGAGCCAGATTCTGTCCCATATTCTCCAGGATTCGTTTTGCTTATCCCAGACCCTTCTGCCCTAAATCTTGAGTGTTATATCTAGGCCATAAAACCCTTATGAGTGATGTTACTTGTACTTTATGATAGCCTAAGGTAACACAGAAGGTGTTACCTTAGGGCCAAGTCAAGTACCCATCTTTGTGGAAGAAGCCAGGTGTACTTTGTAAAGAATTTCAATGTAGACATGTCTTATTTTATTGTTTGAGAGGGGCCGTGCAGGTGTCAGTGCAGGTGGTGGTCTGCAAAGAGGTGAGAATGAACTCAGTTCAGATGGCTCCTCAGCGTGGATCAGACTTGGGGAGTCTGATGCCAGGTAGTTCTTAGTCAGCATATGTGAAACAGTATAATTTGGAAAACATTTCTGGGCAACAATTGTTCCTGTTCCAGATCCCCAGGCAGCCATCATTCCAGTTCCAGGTGCACAATGAGGCTTACGGTGTGACTACTTGGAAACTCCTGTACAGAGTGCACGTGCCCACGAGGGTGGGTTCTAAAGGGTCTAGAATCTGGTGTGGTCTCTGACCAAGGTAGCAGAGAGGTCAGCAGGCTATAAAGTACCGTGACACCCCCTAAGGATGGGTTCTGTTAACAAGGAGATGGAGATAAAGGTCTAAGGAGGGAGAGTCTGTGGTAGACGGTCTGGGAGGGAAGACAGGTGTTTGTCTCCTCACTGAGAAGAGAGGCTTCAGTGTTTAACATTCCTGGCTTCCAGCAATCTGTAGGCACAGTGACCTTTGTGCCCGCAGCATTTGTTCACCTGGGACTGAGTTAATTCTTATAAGATTTTTTTTTCCAAAACTGTGCAATGCTTAAATATAGCTAAAATAAATCAGTTGATGTCAGACTCTTGAGGTTCGGCCCAGCACCGTTACTTAAGTTGGGCTGAATTGAGTCTCATTCTCACCTCACCTGGATCCTTTCCCACTGTGCAGCCTGCAGGAACCTTCACAACAGGGTCTTAGTGGGAAGCCCGACTGACCTGGAGCTCACAGGGGTCTCTATGCCTTTGCCTCTGAATATTGGGATTAAAGGCACATGCCACCATGCCCCAGACAGTTTTGACGTATATAAAAAGAATAAACTTGAAATGTATAGAATATTCTTTTATATCTACATGTGTATCAGCCTGTTTTCTGTGGCTGTAACAAAATACCTAAAGCTGGACAGTTGATTTTTTAAAAGAAGCTTATTTTTCGCATAGTTAGGAAAAATAAGACTTTAAGGCTGAGTGACCTCATTTGTTCAGTCTGGTGACTGCCCTCCTGGCTGCCTCGTAACGTGACAAATGGCTCGTAATGAGCCAAAGAGATCCAGGGGTCAGACTTGCCCTTTGGTCTGAACCTCTAGCCTCACGGATGCTAGGGAAGTACTCTGCCCTGATGTACATCCCCTGCATTCTTTTTCAGTACATTCACCCTGCAGCTCAGGCAGGCCTTAAATTTTATAGTTTTCCTACCACAGCCACACACATTGCTGGGATTTCAGGCCTGCAGCACCGGAGCTAACTAGACTCACCCTTTTCTAACAGGACTTCCTCTGTAAAACCAACATCCCTCTCCTCTAGGGGTGGCATCCACAGTGATGTAATCACCTTGCAGTAGGTTTTATTTTTAAAGACTCTCTCTCTACATTGTTGCTACAGTGGGACCAGGCTTCTAACATATAAACCCTTGGAAACATGTACAAAGTACATCTTTACCATAGCATCATGGAATCATTATACGTAGTTTTGTTTTACCTATAAACACTCCCATGTTATCAAATATTCTTTACTTTTTGTGGTTTTACTTTTATATATTTATTTAACCTACTAATACAGTGTCATTTCCCTTTTTCTGTTATAAACAGTGCTGAAGTTAATATATCTTTGAAAATACTCATACTTTTTTCCTTAGCATGATATGGAGTAAAATAACTAAGTGAAAGGCTAGTTTCAACTTTCAGGAGACATTGCTTCTGTTTCCCCAGATCGCAGAGTGGCTTTCGGATGGCAAGAGACCCGCCGTGTGTCTGAGAATGGATGAGAGCCACAGACCCGTGAAACTTCAGAAAGTGGTGCTGGGCTTTCCCTGTGGCAGTAGCCAAACGGAATTTAAGTTTGACTTAGCCCTCAACTATAAAGTGTACAATGTGATACGGACTTACTCCGATCAGAAGCCCACACTTGTGGTATGGATTATTAGTTGCTGGTTTTGTGTGTGATGTTCAGTTTTTAACCTGGTTGATACAGAATTCACTAATTTATTTCCAGTTTTGTGCAACAAGGAAAGGTGTGCAGCAGGCTGCTTCTGTTCTTGTGAAAGACGCTAAATTTATTATCTCCATGGGACAGAAACTCAGGTTTGCACTTTAATTTGTTCTTGGAAGTGGGAGGACTTCTGGGGATCACTTAGGGGAGATGAGAAAGTGGCTCGTCCTTAACCCTGGGCAGGGTACCTGATATTTTCAAGCCTAGGATTCTGACCCGCATGGTAAAAATAGTAGTGGCTTTACAGAGTGGGGGAGAAAGTGTAAAAGGAGAATGAACACCAAAAGCACAGGTCTAAGGAAAAGAGGCCGTGGGTAGTTGTAAGTAGTTTGGAGCCCTTTGCTTGTAGGGAGTGCACACCGTGTTCAAGTTGTGCTGTCCCCTGTAGTCAGAAGTAAGATGTGGCCACTTAGAAACTCGTCTCCTTGTCCAAACGCTGATTCTGAAAGCGGTGTTGGAAGATGTGTGGAATTGTTGTGCTATGGGAGACTCATTTGCATAGACGCAGTCTTCTCAGGCAAACACTTCCTGTCCTTAGTCGAATCCACCTGGGAGATGGAAATGTGCAGGCTGTAGGCTCCCATAGTGTGGGGCCACAGACCTCCTCTCTGTCACCGCACGCAGCGTCTCGAACAGGAGCATTTCCTCTTCTTACCTCATTACTTAAGGAAAGTTTCCTTGACTCTTTTCTTCTCTCTCCCACCGCATTTAATCTTTATTTTTTTTTTCAGCTTTGAAGGTTTTCAGCAGTGAAGTGCCAGAATTGGAAGGAGTGTGACATTAGAGACACAAACATAAATTGCACACTCCACTTCCACCTCTGACGAGCCATCGAGCCGTCTCTCTCAACTTCAGTTTATAAAGCTTTCTCTTTTCTTTCCTTTCTGCATGAGACTATTTTCAGCACTGGAGATGACTCCCAGGGCTTTGTTCACATAGGCAGGCAGGCTGGCAGGGGTTACATGCTCAGTCTTCCAGCTTCAATTCTTTGTTTTACTTTACTTTGGAAACAGAGTCTGACTATGAAGCCCTGACTGGCCTCAAATTTGCAGTCTTGCCTCAGCCTCCTGAATGCTGGAATTACAGCATGTATCACCATTTTGGGATCAGTTTGCTTCAGTATCTTAACCAGTCTCAGTATGAGTATAAACTACCTTATAATAATTTGATAGTCACATATGGCAAAGTTTCTACAGATCCTGTGTGTAGTACAGTTCATGTCGCTAGTAACACGGCATGTCTTCTTGCCTCCTCTTCATTCCATTGTGAATCCGTAAAGAAAATCGTGACTGAGAAAATCGTACCTCATAGTTTTATATCTGCAGTAAGGAAATAGAAAACAACATGGGGTTTCTTAGATGTGCTCAAGAGCCAAGCTTACCAACCGTCCACATCCTTGAGAGTACCTAGAATTCCTTTCCAAAATTACCAAACCTCTTTAAGGACTTCCTCCTGCCCTTTAGTTTTCTTTATATACTAGAAATGTCCTTAGGAATATATGCCATTGGCAGAGACGCATGCAATGCAATAAAAAGTTTGTCTGTTTTTTTGTTTCACTTGCTAATGATGTAGCAGCTTTAAAAGTTGCCCTTTTCCCCATCTCTTTGACACTCGGAATCGAAGTAGAGCCTGTGAAAGCTGAGCGGGCTTTATTGCTGACAGCCTCCCCAGCCCTATCTTTGCTTTTACTTTGCAGCACAGGCAGTGCTCGTGCTTGCGGTCCTTCTGCCTCCATCTTCTGTTGTGATTGGAGGTTGCTCTCCCACCTGCCAGTTCCCGAATAACTGCTCAGAGGCTCAATATTACTTTTAAATTCTTGGCTGATGGCTCTGGCTTATTATTAGCTAGCTCTTAGATTTAAATTAACCCATATTTTTAATCTATGTTTTGCCACATGATTTGTGGCATGTTACCTCATTTTCTGCATGTCTTGCTTCCTCTGTAGCTGGCTGGCATTTCTAAGACTCCACCCTTCTTCTCCTGTATCTCTGCCAGGATTTCCCACCTGACTCTATCCTGCCTTGCCATAGGCCAAAGAAGCTTTATTTATCATCTAATGGGGCAACACATATTCACAATGTACAGAAAGACATCCCACAGCTGTCACCAAGACTGGCTTGAAGCTTCTTATTTCTTGCACGCATTATTAGACAAATTACAGAGTAGCTTTCTTGTTCTGATCCCATGCACACAGTAATCATTTGCATTGGTTTTTTCAAATGTGGGAAAATGAGAGAATTTTTTCTAAATTTTTGGTTTAGAAGTGAGTTTAAATGTTAAGAGCTAATACATTCTGAATAGGAAAGCTAGACTTTCTATGCTTTCCTTGTTGGTATACGTTCATTAGGGCGTTTTATATAGTGTGTTCTGTTTCTATTCCTCCCCCCACTTTTACCCCCCCTTCCCACTTCTCCTTGACATGGCCCCTGCCTTTTAAAGCTAGCTTTCAATACTTTCCACTGCTGTAGAGTAGCTGCCAGTACTCAGGGGATTCCCTTACTACTGGAAGCGTGCCAGGACAAACTCATAAAAAGTATATGGGTAAAGTTTTCCTTTAATAAATCTTGTCAGAACTTGTGGTTCTTGTTTGTTTGTTGTTTAAAGATAGCTTTCAGATGATGGCATTGTGAAGGTTATTTATTTTTAAAATAATAGACTATTTTAGATTTTTCTAATGTTACAGGGAGTAACTTATTAATTTTGTATTTTAAAAGGTTACAGAAGTCTGCATATTCTATAAGGGATTCGAAACTTAAAGGTAGGTTTAAAGACAGTTTTCTTTTTGTTCTGGAAACTGAACTTGGAGCCCTTAGATGTGTCAGGCCAAACATTCTACCACAGAACCACACCTCCAACCTAGAGATAACTGAATAGCATGTTTAAGTATAGATAGTTAGGACAGTGCTGGCGAAGTGAGAGCAGTGGCTGTTGGGTGTGTTCCTGCTGCAGATGTCGTGGTGTGTAGTGTCGGCTATCACCATGCTGGGATGGGTGTGAAGTGGGGCTGACGGGTGTGTTCCTGCTGCAGATGTCGTGGTGTGTAGTGTCGGCTACCACCATGCTGGGATGGGTGTGAAGTGGGGCTGATGGGTGTGTTCCTGCTGCAGATGTCGTGGTGTGTAGTGTCGGCTACCACCATGCTGGGATGGGTGTGAAGTGGGGCTGACGGGTGTGTTCCTGCTGCAGATGTCGTGGTGTGTAGTGTCGGCTATCACCATGCTGGGATGGGTGTGAAGTGGGGCTGATGGGTGTGTTCCTGCTGCAGATGTCATGGTGTGTAGTGTCGGCTATCACCATGCTGGGATGGGTGTGAAGTGGGGCTGACGGGTGTGTTCCTGCTGCAGATGTCGTGGTGTGTAGTGTCGGCTATCACCATGCTGGGATGGGTGTGAAGTGGGGCTGACGGGTGTGTTCCTGCTGCAGATGTCGTGGTGTGTAGTGTCGGCTACCACCATGCTGGGATGGGTGTGAAGTGGGGCTGACGGGTGTGTTCCTGCTGCAGATGTCGTGGTGTGTAGTGTCGGCTACCACCATGCTGGGATGGGTGTGAAGTGGGGCTGACGGGTGTGTTCCTGCTGCAGATGTCGTGGTGTGTAGTGTCGGCTATCACCATGCTGGGATGGATGTGAAGTGGGGCTGACGGGTGTGTTCCTGCTGCAGATGTCGTGGTGTGTAGTGTCGGCTATCACCATGCTGGGATGGATGTGAAGTGGGGCTGACGGGTGTGTTCCTGCTGCAGATGTCGTGGTGTGTAGTGTCGGCTACCACCATGCTGGGATGGGTGTGAAGTGGGGCTGACGGGTGTGTTCCTGCTGCAGATGTCGTGGTGTGTAGTGTCGGCTATCACCATGCTGGGATGGGTGTGAAGTGGAGCTGAGGGGTGTGTTCCTGCTGCAGATGTCGTGGTGTGTAGTGTCGGCTATCACCATGCTGGGATGGGTGTGAAGTGGGGCTGACGGGTGTGTTCCTGCTGCAGATGTCGTGGTGTATGGTGTCGGCTACCACCATGCTGGGTTGGAGCTGTCCGATAGGAAACTGGTTGAAGAACTGTTTACTTCTGGAGATCTCCCAGTTCTTTGTAAGTAAAACATTTCTTGCATATATTAAAATGTTTTGGAAAATTATTCTTAAGAGGAAAAGCTTAAGTGTTCTGATGAATTTCTTCCAAGAACTGAAAAAGAGCTGTGAATGCAGGTATCACACCAACCTCCTTGGCAAAGTTAATGCTTATCATTTAGTTGAATATGGTGCAATTTGAAAAGATCTTATTAGCTATTTTATTTTTAGGGTACATTATTATTTTAGATTATAAAGTCCTGTATTCCTTTTTCTAAATTTAGTTTTCATTCCATTTATATCCGTATATCTTTTATAATAAAACACCATCCTAGGATAATAAAATTATATCACTTGATTATTCTCCAATCTGCTAGTTACCACGAGCACTCTTGCCATGGGGGTGAACTTGCCAGCTCACCTGGTAGTTATAAAGTCTACCATGCACTACACTGGAGGCATGTTTGAGGAGTACAGCGAGACAGACATCCTGCAGATGATCGGGAGAGCCGGCAGACCTCAGGTAAGGGGTAATCGCTTTCTCTTTTTAACATTCTAAGTATAGCAAAGAAAGGGGGTTGTCTGTTTTTAATTTGCATCTTATAAATAATGTAATTTAAAAGTCAGATTTAATTGAGGAATAAACAAGACTCATTCACTGAGATTAGAAGAGTTTAAGTGCTCTTGCTATTCCAACCCTGTCTGAACTACTCTGTTTTTGTAGTAGTGATTATCAATCACTGCCCTCCCTCACTTGTGAAGGACCCTTTATTTCCCTCGAAGTCACTCTCAGGTGTTTGCAAACCAAGCCAGCGGTTATTTTTTTTTTATTGATTTTTATTGAGAGCTACATGTTTCTCTGCTCCCCTCTGTGCCTCTCCCCTCCTCTTCAGCATCCCCCCCAAGGTCCCCATGCTCCCAGTTTACTCAGGAGATCTTGTCTTTTTCTACTTGTTTTTTTTAAAAGGCTTGTTTATTTATTATGTATACAGTGTTCTGTCTGCATGTATGCCTGCAGGCCAGAAGAGGGCATCAGAACTATTTATCAATGGTTGTGAACCACCCATGTGGTTGCTGGGAATTGAACTCAGGACCTCTGGAAAAGCAGCCAGTGCTCTCAACCTCTGAGCCATCTCTCCAGCCCCCCTAAACTACTCTCTGAATGTAGATGGATGGATGTGTGAGTGAGTGTACTGGTAAAGGAAATGTTGGTTTTTTTTGTTTTGTTTTTGTTTTTTGAGACAGGGTTTCTCTGTAGCTTTGGAGCCTGTCCTGGAACTAGCTCTTGTAGACCAGGCTGGCCTCAAACTCACGGGGATTCACCTGCCTCTGCCTCCCGAGTGCTGGGATTAAAGGCATGCGCCACCACCGTCTGGCTACTGGTAAAGGAATGTTAAAAGGCTTTTTTTCATCTTATTTTTATTCTGAATAAGGATGTTTTTGCCATTTTTGTGTCTATTTTAGAAACTGGATCTCTGTGTGTAGCCTAGACTGAACTCAGACTTGCCATCTTTTGTCTCACCTCCTAAATGCTGGTCCGGCATTTGGGGGCAGTTTTTCCTTGTGAAGGATTATTGTACATTACAGAACATGGGCCATCCCAGGGTTGTAGCTCTAAATGCTGCAGTTCAAAGTCTGCCAATATTTATCTCAAAATATGTTTGACAAGTGCTTGAATGGAGTCATTCATTTAGATGCCATAAGAAAATCCTGGAAAAATATCTTTTTCAAAGTATCAAAATGTTATTTACACAAGTTTTTAATTTTAGAGGAAAAATTAAATATATCAAATTATGTGGTGTCCTAGTTAGGGTTACTATTGCTGTGATAAAACACCATGACCAAACGCAGCTTGGTGCGGAAAGGGTAGATTGGGCCCACGCTTCCCCATCACTGTCCGTCATCGAGAGGAGTCAGGGCAGGAACTGGGGGCAGGGGCTGATGCAGAGGCCGTGGAGCGGGGCTGCTTACTGGTTTTCTCAGCTTGATTTCCTATAGAACCCAGAACCACCACTGCCCAGGGATGGCACCACTCACTGGGAGCTGGACCCTCCCACATCAATCACTGATTAAGAAAATGCCCTGCAGGATTGCCTACGGCCCAGTCTTACGGAGGTGTTTTCCTAGTGGAGGTGCCCACCTCTCGGATGACTTTAGCTTCGTGCTAACTTGTGACATGGAACTCGTCAGCAGATATGGAAACTATACTAAATCTTAAGTTTTTATTTTAGCTTACAAGATTTGACATTCACATTGTCAAAATTATGTTCCATTGAAACAAAAGTGGAATTTGCAGTTATACTCTTGGGCGTTTTTTAATTAAACTTTTTGTAAATATTAAAGTTCAGAAGCAGATTTTAGTCCTTTTGGCCTGCTAAGGCCAGGAACCATTCCGTGTGAAATGTAAGTTTGGGGAAAGGTTGGCCCTGTAGTGTGTTCTAGTCTTTGCTGACCTCTGTGCTTTGGCTGCTGTTGCAGTTTGACACGACAGCTACTGCAGTTATCATGACCCGGTTAAGCACAAGAGAGAAGTACGTTCAGATGTTAGCATGTAACGACACCATAGAAAGCAGGTAACAAAGAACAGTTCAGAAAGAAAATTAAACTAATAGGACTTGTTGTTTCCTTTACTATCTGGGAAGGATTTCGTTGTGGAGTTTTCTAAGGCTGTTTTCTTGAAATAATCTTAACAATTTACCTATAAAGCATGTCATTTAAGGAATTAAATAGTTTTATGTATTGACAACATAGTTTTATTTGGTGTTGGTTTTTAGTACACAATAGTACATATCTTTGTTATAAAGTCCTAATAGGTAATAAGGTCTTGCTAATTATCATTCTATTATAACTTAAGAGTATTAAATTTGCAATCACTCACTTTTAATAAGAGAAATATTTTCACACCTTAAACTTTGTTTTATAATGAGAGAATATGAGTGTCTGGGACAGTTTTCAGTATGTCGTAAGTGCGCCTCTTTGGGGAAAATCAGACATAATTCACAACCACACTACTATCACCGTGCTGGCTTATTATACAAAAATGTATCTTCTAGAACTATGAAATAAGGAGAAATCTCAGATTTTTAAAATGTTGAACTGACTTTTTAAGATTTCCTCCTATATTTTTGAAAATTACTTTTTATGAATTATTAAAGTAGCAACTAGTATATATTGTATATTATTAAAGTTTAAAAAGTAAGTTTTATGTTTTTGAAATTCATGTTAGTTTGCACAGACATCTGATCGAGCATTTAAATGCAGAGATAGTGCTGCATACCATCACAGACGTGAACATTGCTCTGGACTGGATCCGGTCAACCCTCCTGTACATCAGAGCTCTGAAGAACCCATCTCACTACGGTTCGTGACTTTGACCTCGAAATGCAATGACATTTTTCAGACCAACTGGGTTCTTATTCATACTGTTAAAGAATAGATTATAGAAACTAATAAGCAACAGGAAAAATAGTTACCAGTCCCCAATGTGTTCAGAGGCAAGAGTGGATGAAAATGAGAACACACTGTCTGCTCTGTACCTATTCTTTTAATGTTTTAAAATGGACTCAATGAGAAAAAACCTTAAGTACCTAAACTAATTTGAAATAAGTTAAAGTTTTAAGTTCTGATTCTTTTTCATATTTAGCTGCTCTCTTGTTTTAAATTTGTAACTGTTAATTTTTCAATTTTAAGAACACAAAGCAAATAAGGTGTAATTTTATTTTCCATTTTTTAATGCAAGCCATGTCCCGTTGTACTAGTTTTCCAACAAATTACTTAAAACATAACTTCAAGGAACAGCCAGAATTTGTTATCATGCACGTGTAATTAGCCAAGAGTCAGCCAGTGTCGTTAACACACCTGTCAAGGCTGCAGTTGTTTGAAGGCTGTGGTGGGGCCTGAGGACTCTCATCCAAGAAGGTTGTCTCATGCAGCTCTTGGTTGGAGGCTTAGTTGTTTCTTGTGGGCTTTTCCCGTATCTCTCTTCCTGCAAGATGAATAATACAAGACAGACTCGCTAAATAAAAATTGCCTTTCCTTATTTGTTGCCGTGGCCACACATTATCATTTATTTTAAAACAAGTTACTATTCCTGGCCACATGAAGGGAAGAAGGACTAAAGAATTCAACCTTTGAAGGCATGGGTATCAAAATTCTTATGAACATTTTTAAAGAGATAAGTTCTTGCTTTGTAACCTGGCAAACTGCGAATCACAGAAATCTCTCGTCTTAGCTGCTCAACATTTGGAGCTGTGAGCCCCTACCGTCGTCTGTGGGTTATTCTCTGTGAACCCCTACCGTCGTCTGTGGATTATTCTCTGTGTGCTCCTACCGTCGTCTGTGGATTATTCTCTGTGTGCCCTACCGTCGTCTGTGGATTATTCTCTGTGCTACCGTCGTCTGTGGGTTATTCTCTGTGAACCCCTACCGTCGTCTGTGGATTATTCTCTGTGTGCTCCTACCGTCGTCTGTGGATTATTCTCTGTGTGCCCTACCGTCGTCTGTGGGTTATTCTCTGGTCTGCACTGCTCTTTGTAGTTCCCCATATGTCTTGGAGGCTTTCTGATCAGTTGGCTTTTAGACCAGCGTATAAAGTGGGGCTCCTCTAGGAGCCATCGAGCTTCCTTACTCTTCTTCCCTCCCACTGCTCTCCCTGCCTCCACCTCCACCTGGTGCCGAGAGGTCACCTGATCCATCACCTTCTCCCACCATGCTAAGAGCTCTCCTGTCATGGTCTACCTTCATCTCTCTCTCTCTCTCTCTCTCTCTCTCTCTCTCTCTCTCACACACACACACACACACACACACACACACACACACACACACATTAGGGTAGACACGCACGCACATGATATAAATGTAGTCTTGGGCTTTCTGAGCTGGGCTTACTTCACTTAGCATAGTGTCTCCAGCTCCATCCATTTTCCTGCAGATGTCATGATTTCATTTCTCTTTATGGGCAGAAAAACACAGTGTATGGATTACTGTACTTTCTTTATCCATTCATCTGTTGATGAACATTCCGTTTCTTTCTGTTGTGATAAACACAGCAACGTACATGGACAAATGTGTCTCTGTGTAGTATGTTGGCTAAGAGTCTTTTGTGTATTACCTTGGAGTGGTAAAACTGGGTCATAACCTAACTCTGTTCTGCTTGTTTCTTAAATAAATACCTAAAGATTTGTTTCTTCTACTTACATATTTTTGTGTGTTTGTGTTTGTGTGAGTGCTCATGTACAGGTGGGTGGGGTGAGTGCTCCAGGTAGAAGAGAGCCTCCCATGTCCTCCTCTGCTACTCTCTCTAGCTGAACCTGCAGCTCATGTTGTCTCAGCTGGGTCATCCTCTGCCCCACCCCCTTGAAGGTGTGTTTATGGGCTTGTGGAGGATGTTCAGCTTGTCCTGTAGATACTGGGATCCGAATTCCAGTCCTCATGACTGAATAGCAAGCCTTCTTTTTTGTTGTTTTAGTTTGTTTCTGTTTCCCTGTATAGTCCTGGCTGTCCTGGAACTCGCTCTGTAGACCAAGCTGGCCTTGAATTCACAGAGATCCTCCTGCCTCTGCCTCCCAGGTGCTGGGATTGAAGGTGTGCACCACCACCACCCTGCCAGCAAGCTTTCCTAGCTGAGGACATTTCTCTAGCCTACCACCCCTTTTTTTGAGGAACTTCCACACTGACTTGGAAGCTTTTAAAAATAGCTAATAACATTCCTTGTTAGCTGTGTATTATTTCTATGTTTGTGTATAGGGCATGGGTTGTGTGTGCTCATGAGTGCACATGCCCACAAAGCCCAGAAGAGGACATTAGATCTCCTGGAGCTAGAGTTACAGGCACTTGTGAGCTGCTGATGTGGGTGCTGGGAACAAACTCAGACCCTCTGAGCTCTCAACAGCCCCATGTGTCATTTCTAAGCCGTTCTAGTTGGTGAACATGTTCATCTGAAAACTTATCTGCTATTATCAACAATGCATTTTCACATGTGTAAATTCGTTTGCATGATAAATTCTTGGAAATGAAGTTTCTAGATCAGCGGGTACATGCATTTTAAAATGTAATAGCTGTTACTAAGCTGCTGTCTTTAAGAGGTTACATGGTTGTGAGCAGTGGCTGAGAGCACTTTGTTCCCACAACCCTGCAGGGTTTATCTTATATCTTTTCATCCATGTCACTCCAGGTTTATTTGTGTCTTACCTGCACTTCCTTCTCATGAGCACTTCATTTTATAGTGATTTTTATGTTGCATTATCACAGTAAAGTGCACAAATATTAGGCATGGAAGTCAATTAAATTATACACATATAGACACAGACACTGACATATAATCACAGTCCAGCTCAGTATATAGAATATTTGTTTTTTTCCCTTATTATCTTCCTTCCTTCCTTTCTGCCTTCCTTCCTTCTTTTTTCCTTTTTTTTTCTTTTTCAATTCAGAGTTTCTCCATGTAACAGCTCTGGCTGTCCTGGAACTTGCTTTGTAGACCAGGCTGGTCTCAAACTCACAGAGATCCACCTGCCTCTGCCTCCTGAGTACTGGGATTAAAGGCGTGCGCCACTGCCCAGCATGTCTTCAGTTTCCTTAAATTCATAGTATTCATGAGATTGCTTCATATAATTGAGTCTCTTGGTAATAATTTTGTTATTATAACCCCAGTTATATCAGTATCTCACAGTTCAGTCAGCTGTTTTGTGGATGGAAATAGATCATTTCCAGATTTTGATGTACACCTACCTCAAGTGTACTTACCCCCACACAAATACACATGCACATAACTAAAAATAATAAAAGTAAAACTTTAAAACTGAATCTACATGTTTTTGTTGAAATATTGTATTTATGATTACTTAATACAGTTTTAAAAAACAAAATAAAGCCAGTTGATATTGAAAAGATTTCAAAATAGTGGTTGTGTTCTATGAATAATTGAGCCTCTCTGAGCTTGTTAGATTGTGATTAGTCTATATGAAGTGTAGATGCTTTTCTTAATGTGAACTTTAAATTGAACCTATAAAGATTAATTAAATACATTTCATTTTTTAAAATAAAGTTTCATGACTTATACAGGTTTTGTATCTGGACTGAACAAAGATGGAATCGAAGCGAAATTACAAGGTTAGATATATTTCCTTCTATTAGCTCTATATATTATATAAATTTTTAGGAAAAATGTCAGTTACTAAAGAAATACAGATATGTAAATTACTTTTAAAAGTAAACTTATCTGGATAAAAAATGTTGAATTGTTTGCTTTCCATCACAAACTTGGCATGTGTAGCTTTTCTATATTTGTTGAATAATTCTGTTAGAATATCTGCCCATATATATATAATATAGTAACTTGGCTTATTTGGGCTTTGTCATTAAAATTATCCTGATCTTTGAAAACATTGCTAATAAACACTTTATTTTTCTTTCTAACCTTAATTTTAATTTAAAATATAATCCTAGATTTATTGTGGAGTTCTCATCCAAATCTGTGCAATATTTCCTTTTCAAATTCCAACTTTTTGAAATTTAGCTTTATTATTTTATTATCTATCTTTAACTATAAAAATTCAATAAGCACTTATAATTAAATATTAATATGTCTTCATTGTGTTAATACTTTAAGTAAAAGCAAAAATTTTTGATCTACTAAAATATTAATTTTAATTTGTTCTCTGAATATTTGTATATAAAAATAAAAATGCAGAGATAAGGATAAATAACAAATTGTCTCACTTGAAGAATAAACACGTTGCTGGGTGTGGTGCATATACTTGTAATCCTGGTGCTCAAAAAGGTGCAGGAGGAGGACGGCAGGTTGAGCTCCAGACAGACAGGCCTGAATGGTGAGACCCTGTCTCAGCAGTAGAGAAGAGCCAGTATGGCATTTAACATGGCAGTAGTCACGTGTACTTATCATGCTGCTGTGAAAATGTTTATTAAGTAGTTCTTTTATTCTCTGGCACCATTTTGTAATTGAAAATTTAAAATTAAATAATACATTAATGATAATGATAATTGCACATAAGAAATCAGATAGGTAAAATTATATCTTTCTCTGTTCTGATAACTTGAGTGTTTAATTTTCTGTTAAATTAGCAAATCACTGTTAATATTTGCCTTATTTTCCATTATCAGTTGATACAGTGAGTTGTCTGTATAGAAGAGTATGTATTGTATACATTAATAAAAAGATATAGTTATAGGAGAGGAAAATAGTTTTTATTTCTCATTCATTGCAAAGCCCACGGACAATTTCCCTATAACAAAAGGTTGAAACATAATAAATTTTTTAATCAAAGTTTTGCATGCCATGGGAGCCTCTGAAAGTGAAGACCTCCAGACCTGGGGGAAATTGTCCTCTTTTGCTGTCTGATGAAAGAAGTGGACATCTGTGATGTCACATGACTGAGTAAACAGCCGTCATCGTGTTGATAAGCATGGGAGAACATGCCCTGCTGTGCGTGCTTAGACTCTGCTTGGCCTCTCTGTGTGAAGTCTCTTCCCTCAGACATGGAGTAGTCTCTGGAATGAAGGTTCTGTGAACGTCTCTAAGGACAGAGCTGCTCTGTGACTCTGTGTGGGATGTCAGGGTAGCCGTTCTGAGACTTCTCAGTCATCCTTCGAAGGATGCTGGGCATAGTGTTTTCTGACAGTTCCCTTGGAGTCTGCCTCAGGTCTCAGGATGGACAGCGCCACAGGGTAGGCTACTTCCTAAATGATTATGATTCTTGGTCAGTAGCCTCTAAGAATTACAACAGAGGTTTTCTTACATATATTTCAAGGTTTTTCTTTCTTTTTAAAAGACTTCAGCTCTTCCAGAGCAGTTATGCTATAGCATACATATCTAATAGTAAATTCTATTTTCATGTCTTCCTTATTTTACTAAACTTAAAATGTGTTTTCTATAATTGAACAGAATTGTGTTTGAAGAATCTGAAAGATTTATCATCACTGGACTTAATAAAGATGGATGAAGATGTTTATTTCAAACCAACAGGTATTTTTCCTTATGATGGCATTGAGTTTAATGCTTGCTAAGACTAAAATTTAGACAACAGTAAATAGACTATCATTATTTTTAGCTGTAAGGCGTCAGTTCATGTAAGTTCCTTTTGAAACTACAACTTCTTGACACAGGATTGATCTCACTGTTCTGGTGACTCTCAGCTGATGATTTGAGTCTGTAGGCCAGTTATAACTAATAAATTCCTCTGCCCCTGAGTGCACAGCCATGGATTATCTGAGTGGCATCGCCTTTCCCATCACAGGTTTGTTGACCGAGGGTCTGTGAGCTTCGTGCCCCATGCTGGGAGACTCAGTAACTCCAGCCTTTCTCACTCTCTGTGGCCTTTGTCCTGCAGGCACAAGGCGGGACCTCTCTGCTTCTGGCAGTGCTTGCCTAAGGTGCACTGTGTGAGTTCACTGCAGCCTTGCTTCTAAAGACACACATGTACTTTGCACAGCTCATGATGTCACTCCATGACACACTTACACACAGCCTTAAAATACCCCAGATCTGAGACTGTTGTATGTTACACAATGTTTTATATGTACAAAATTTTATTCTCTTATAAAATAATTAAATTATGGGAAAGACTTCCAATATCTTGAAAAGGGGGAGGCTCCAGGAGGTCATGCCTATTTTATGCTAACGTTACAAGTCCTTCTCGCACAGGCTGTGTCTCTGTTTAAAGCTTTCAGTCTGCCAAGACACTACGTGTTCCTGAGCTCTCTCCCCCTCTCTGTCTCCTCTCAGCCTTTCTCTTTTGTTCTCAGCTTAGTTTTGTTCAGTATTTAAGGAAAAGAATGAGGGGAAGTGTTTCACAGTTTTTAGGATTTAGATCTAGAACTGATTATGGAGGAAAATACTGACTTTATTATTCTAATTAATCATTGTAAGGAAAAGTGTATGGAAATTTTTTATAAAATTCAGAATCTATTTACTTTTGGCATTTATCCTTCTATTTTTAATGAATATTTTACGTATTTGTGGCCATTTCCTAGAAATGTGGAGTTTGTGTCATGCTTCATTTATAGTCAGTGTAAAGTTAGAGTCTAAAACAGTTTGCTGCCAAGTCTCAGCCTTGTGTTTTAAACCTTTCTGTTACAAGGGAGAGGGCCCTTTTGTTTGTCCTGCCCACCCAACTAGCTTACATCCAAAATAACCACACAGAAACTGTATTCATTAAAACACTGCTTGGCCCATTAGCTCTAGTTTCTTATTGGGTAATTCTTACACCTTAATTTAACACATTTCTATTAATGTGTGTATCGCCACGTGACTGTGGCTTACTGGAAAGATTCTAACCGGCGTTCGTCTCAGGCAGGAGATCCATGGTGTCTCTCTGACTCTGTTCTTCTTTCCAGCATTCAGTTCTGTCTTCTCCACCTATCTAAGTTCTGCCCTATCAGGCCCAAAGCAGTTTCTTTATTCATTAGCCAATGAAACCAACACATGAACAGAATGTCACTCTGTTGACATGCCAAAAATTCCCTTCTTCAGGAAAACCTGTGGCTCACACACACTCCTAACCGTTCCCTTGAAACCTGTAGCTCACATACACTCCTAACCGTTCCCTTGAAACCTGTGGCTCACATACACTCCTAACCGTTCCCTTGAAACCTGTGGCTCACATACACTCCTAACCGTTCCCTTGAAGCCAAGTGTGCTGCTGCTTTTTCCAGCTCCTTTCTGCATGTTTGTAAGGACTGGATTCTTTGAGATCTTCTGAACAATAATTAGATTTATTTCATTCTATCAGTTCCTCTTACCTGCTGCATTCATCCCCCTCCTCCTAACCTCCCTACTGTTTTATTTCCAAAACAAGTTATTCTGAAGCTCCAATTTAACTAAGAATATTGCTCAAGAATTGTAAGTAAGCCTGTTATTTTACAAATCTGATCCAAATTTTGAACTCCTTTAAATAGCCATAAAAGCTCCTTATGGCCCCTCTAGTTTATTATCTATCATTTCTTAATTTTAAAAATTAGGCAACATTTACCAAGCATTAGGCACTACAAACAAATTTTGAGGTATGTACTTTTGTCATTCAGTATATTAAGAAAAGTGCGCACTATCTTCTGCCATGTACTAAATGGAGACTCAGGCCAGGCCAGCTGCCCGGAGCTCATGATGATCATCAAGCCATAGCCCTTTCTAAAGCAGCCACAGATAGTCGTCTTCATTCCTCTGGTTTGATAAATCTTGATTCTCCCTAAGATAATGGCTTTGTTTCCTCTCTGCCAGGTCATATTAATCACTTTAAAAGTCCTGCTTAAAACTCATATTTCCTATTAGGTTATCTCATACTGACCTGGATTTTGTTCTCTGTCTTACCTGTGGTTATATCTAAGGTTCATAGATTGTGTTTTCTACATTTTTGAGGGTATCTTCGCTTAGAGGTGTATGATATTTTGTTTATCCCATAACAAATAAAGCTTTCCTGAAGATCAGAGTGCAGAACTAAGCCACTAGATGCCGTAGAGGCCAGGTACTGATGGCATGCACGCACCTTTAATCCCAGCATTCGAGAAACAGAGGCAGCGGGATCTCGTGAGTTCAAGGCCACCCTGGGCTGCATGAGATTGAATATGTGTAAAAGAGAAACAGAGCTCAAACATGGGTGATCCCAGCACTTGGGATTCCATGCCTTTAATCCAAGCACGAGGGAGGTGAAGACAGGAGTGAGATGGCTGGACAGAGAGAGGAATATAAGGTGGGAGGAGACAGGAGCTCAGAGCAGTCTGAGGAGCCAGTCTGAGGACAGGATCACCCCTTCTGTCTGAGCATTGATAGAGGTAAGAACTCTAGTGGCTGCCGCTCTACTTCTCTGTCCTTCAGCTTTTACCCCTTGATGGCTGACTCTGAGTTTTTATTATTAATACCAGTTAGAATTCATGCAATACAGGGGTCATTACAAGCACACAGCGCCCACTAATTAAGTGTTAAGGAAATACTTGTTTAACTGATTGATGTGGGATTTCCCTTGGTATGCTGTGATTACCATTGATAAATAAAAAAACTGATTTGGACCTACAGCAGAGCTATAAGAAAACAGAGCTGTGTGGGGAAAACTAAGCTGAATGCTGGGAGAGAGAAGGTGGGGTCAGAGAGAAGCCATGTAGCCCTGCCTGAGCCAGATGGAATGTTGTAGGAGCTGCGGGCTGCTTTCCTGCCACCCAGCTCCCAGCTGCCTGGTTAGCTTATGCCCCGAAATAACAACACACAAATTGTATTTTTTTAAACACTGCTTGGCCCATTAACTCTAGCCCTTATAGGCTAATTCTCATATCCCAATCAACCCATCTCTAATAATCTGTGTAGCATCAGTCTTACCGGGAAAGATTCAGCATGTCTGACCTGGCAGCTTGCTTCATGGCATCTGGCTCTGAGAGGAGCTGCATGATTTCTGAGCTCGCTTCCTCTTCCTCCCAGCATTCTGTTCTGTTTACTCCGCCTATCTAAATTTTAACCTATCAGGGCCAAGGCAGTTTCTTTATTTAACCAATGACCTTCCTCCATCATGTCCCCTTTTTCTGTTTAAACAAAAAGGAAAGGCTTTAACTTTAACATAGCAAAATTACATATAACAAAACAGTTATCAAGTAAACATTACAATATTTACATCTATTTTATCTTTTTTCATAACTAAGGAAAACAATAACTATCTATGTATTCTTTAACTCCATCAAAGACTCCAGAAGGATATAATATTAAATGAGAAGTAAGCAACTTACAAAACTCTAGAAATCACAGAGACATCTTGCTGCCTGGACAGTCACCCAAAGTTCCTCTGCACCATTGGGGCATCCATCTTTGGCCTACAGTCCCATAGTTTCCAGCAGACATTTCCATGAAGCAGGAAATTTCAAAGGCCGTCAGTCACTATCTGTTGTGTCCTGCAGAATGTCTCGCAGACTCCTTCATGAATCAGGAACCCTGAAAGATCATCTCACCTTTAGGCAAGTTCAGTAGTCCTCTCTCTGTGGGTTCTCTGTGTCCAGTTTATGCAACAGTCCAGGCAAGAGCAGTTTCTTGCCCAAATGGCTATCAAACTCCATAAGGTGCCTCTTTGATGCCCATCTTCTTCTTGAAGTAGATTGGTGCTGCCAGGAGCAGATGTGTCTCATTGTCATGAAAAGTCCTAAGTTATTAAAACATTTAAAATGCCATATTCTATAATCTTTTAAAGATATGAAGAATGCCTATCTAAAATATATCTATGTACATCTAGAAAACCTTAACTAACATGACTACAAACTTGACTATTATGATTATCTATTAACAACCTATATACATTACATTTTTAAATGAACTACACAATCACAATACCTTAATCAAGAGCAGAAGTACATATACATATAACAAAATTGACATTAAAATCCATACCAATGCAAATTATTCATATCTATATCATATCCCCCTTTAAATGTAAAAGAACATTTATAAACAATATTTGGGAACATGGGCACAGTTTTTTCTCTCCAAACTGCTTCCTGCTGAATGGGGCATCGTTAATTAGGTCTTTCATGGTATAACCTGTGTGCTAGTTTCATCTCAGTTGGCAGTTGAGCAAAGCAATTTTTTAAGGGTGTTCACAGCAACCTTTCAGGAGGACGTGGTCTATCATACCATATTGGGATAGATGCAATCCAAAGGGTCACATCCTCTGTGAAAACAAAAGAAGAATCTCTTTTCCAAAGTATCATATCCTTAGATCCAAATTCTGAAGTCAAGGTATTTTCAAAATCTCTACGTTGGATTAGTTCAGCAACATTTATAAACAAATATCTTTTAGCAGCTGTTGCTCCTTCCTCAGCATTCAAACAATTCAAATAGAGCATAATAGCATATAGTATCAAGATTCTCTGTGTATTTTCCATCTTTGTATGGCTTCATTTTAACTCTATTTTGTTTATTTTTACTTTTATTTTATATTCTCTGTATATCTTTGTCCTGGAATAACTCTGTAGACAAGGCTGTCCTTGAACTCTCAGAGATCCACCTGTCTCTGCCTCCCAGGCATTGGGATTAAAGGTGTACACTACTACACCTTGAACTCACAGAGATCTGTTTGTCTCTGCCTTCTAGGCACTGGGATTAAAGGCGTGTGCTACCACACCCAACTACTCTCTTTCTTCCTTTTTTTTTTGTTTGTTACTTTAAGAACTTTAACTTTTAGCCTGCATTTATTTTTAACACACAGTAAACCATTTAGAAATTTTCTTTGTCTTTGAATCTCTCTTTACTGTATGTCTCTCTTTTTCTGACCACATGAGCCTTTAAATTACTGAGCAATATTGGTAGGACTAAAGCTGTTGCTTTGGCGGCTGGATTCAGCCGATTCCTTAGTTTCCCAGCCTCATGGCGGAGATACAGGCTGTCTCCATGTTTATCGCCACAACTCTATGGCATTTCAAGGTCCCTGCCAGCAAGCGAGCTTCAGCAGCCTGTGCTCGCAAACCGCACGAACTGCCTGTGTAAAAGAGTCAGAGTTTGCTCTGGCAGGACGGCCCAGAAAGTCGGCATTTTTAAACGGCGCAGCTTTTTTCCTGCTATGGCTGAAAACCGAAAAGCATGCTTTCAGCTTTTCGTCAACACCATTTAAGTGTTTCATGGCAGGACCTCTTAATGAGCTGCAGGGTTTTGCAGCTAAAGCTGAGTCAGGAAGCCTCTCTTAGATGAGATCACTTGCTTGCCTCTAGCAAGCAGAGTAGACCCGAGAAATTGTTGCTACCAAGAAAACATGCTTTACTCTTTCCCAAGCTTTCTCAGGCTTTCAGTGGATTCAACTGTCCACACATCTGGGCGCCATTCTGTTGTGATAGGAGCTGCGGGGCTGCTTCCCTAGCACCCCGGCTGCCTGGCTAGCTTATGCCCCGAAATAACAACACACAAATTGTATTCATTTAAACACTGCTTGGCCCATTAACTCTAGCCCTTACAGGCTAATTCTCATATCCCGATCAACCCATCTCTAATAATCTGTGTAGCATCAGTCTTTCCGGGAAAGATTCAGCATGTCTGACCTGTAGTACACACCTTTAATCCCAACAATGGAACTTTAGCCTGTAAGCCACAGCCACATGGCAATACACAGATTAATAGAAATGGGTTAAATTAATATGTAAGAGTAGCTAATAAGAAGCTAGAGCTAATGGGTTAAGCAGTGATTTAATTAATACAGTTTCTGTGTGATTATTTTGGTTCTGGGCAGCCGGGATGAACAAGCAGCCCCCTACAACAACTGATTTCTTAAAAAGCAAGTTTTTCAGCTAATGTGAAAATGTTTGTCTTTCCGTCTTTCCTAACAGAGGCAGGAAGACTAATGGCTTGGTACTATATTACATTCGAGACAGTGAAGAAGTTTTGTACAATCAGTGGAAAGGAAACTTTATCAGATTTAGTAAGTTTTCATTAGAAGTTAATAATTGTAGAATAAATGTAATATTGGAGAGACAACTGATTTATATATCTCCTATAGTTTAAAATTGAATGAGCAGAAAGGAAAAATGATTTAAATGGTTATTTTTCCCTTTGATCCTGAGTTAAGGAATATAATGCCTAAGAATATATTATATTGTCATTTGTGTTTCTTATCAAAGTTAAGAAAATTTATATACAAATAGGTGTGGCTACTATTCTGCAACTTAAAATTGACTTGGTAATGACGATTACCTCAGGAGTGCTTTCCACATGTGGTATGTGATAAAGACTCCATGAGAGTATGACAGGCAAGCTAGCAGATCTGCCGTGAGGGAGTGGCTGTGAATTCTAGCAGGACAGCGTGTTGCTGTGCTGACCCTGTCTGCTGTCATCTGCCTGAGTGCAGCAGTAGCAGTGGAGATTGAGTGGGGATGACCCAGGAAAAAAGAGCAGATTCTGGAGAAAGAGACCAAGAAATAGATTGTGCTTACAAGTCATCAGGACCAGGCTTGCAGCTACAGTAGAGGACAGACACGGGCATTCTGCTGGGTCCTTCCCCTGTTGCTGGAGACATGAGCATAAAGGAAAGGACTGGTAGAAGAAGATATTTGTTCTCAATTTTAAACCATGCTTTTCTCTTTTAATTATCAATTAGTTACCACAATAAGGTTATTATATTAAAGACTGCACAGTAAGAAATCTGTTTATTGTTAGGAGTCATGTGAGCAAGCTTTGATGAAGTAAAAGGTTTGTATTTTTGGGTAAATATTGTTCTCTAAGAAGATTCAAGATTAACAAATATTCAGTGTCAGCACCATCTGGCTGATTTTATCATGTGAGAGGTTTAGAGCATGTAGTCCCATCTCCCACTACCAGTCTACAAATCCAAATCTCTCCGCATGTGAAGCCTCTTTCCATTACTAAATTATCGGAATGGCGGTTTGCAGCTACGGGAGGGTGCAGAGAGCAGTGAGGAGAGCAGCCTGCTCTGCGTGCCTCCCTCTGTACCACGTAGGACACAGCCGATCTCGTTCAGCCTTGTAATCTGTCGGATGCCATCCTGATGCTGCTCACATTATATGCTAATGTCTAGCATTTAGAAGCTTCTAAGTGTTTGGTAGTGATTGAATTCTTGAAGAGGTAAGATATATAAAGCCGTCTTTTAAATTCTGCTTTGCTAATGAATAAACCTAGGGTGCCCCTGGGCAGCATGAAAAATAAGGAAATTCAGAGAAAGGGGCTAAGAAAAAGTTTAAAATGAATTTTTTTAAACTGGCAAATACTTAAACCATAGATTTCGATGATAGCCAGCTGTAATGAGTTCCTGGACGTGCAGCTGAGGACAAGTGAGAAGAGAGCACTGAACACTTTAAACAAAGACCCAAACCGGATCACCATCAGGTAGGAAGTCACACAGACTGGATGAAACTTCAGAGGCTCTGTTCAGTTAAATAACAAAAGCTCTTGTGTGTTTTTATTTGCAGATTTCCAATGGAAGGAAGGATTAAAACAAGAGAGATGAAAGTAAATTGGTAATGAAAATTTTCTAGCATCCTAAAATATTGTATACCTGTTCATATTTCATATGTATGAGGGTTTTTCTCCTCTCCTCCCCCATTTTTTTTGAGACAAAATCTGCATTAGTTCCAGCTTGTAGTAATAAGAGCGGCGGGGCTGCGTCCCCAGCAACCCAGCCGCCCGCACGGCTAGCTTTACCCGAAATAACAACACACAAACTGTATTCATTTAAACACTGCTTGGCCCTTTAGCCCTAGCCCTTACTGGCTAATTCTGTTATCCTGATCAACCCATCTCTAATAATCTGTGAGAACTGGTCTTACCAGGAAGATTCTAGCCTTGTCCATCCTGGGTCGGAGCTTCATGGCGTGTGTCTGCCCTGGAGCGGGGCATGGCGTCTCTCTCAGGCGTCTGCTCCCGAGAGGAGAGCTGTGGAGTCTGACCTCACTTCCTCTTCCTCCCAGCCTTCTGTTCTGTTTACTCCACCCACAGGGCCAAGCAGTTTCTTTATTGCTTAACCAATGAAATCAACAGATTGATATATGACACTCCCACATCACCAGCTGGTCTCAAAACTCAGTTTTCTACCATAGCCTAATGTAGCACAGTTAATAAAAACTCAGAGACAGAAATTGGGGTTCAACCTGAAGGTCAGAAAAGCAAAACAGCCAGCTACTGGCTCTTACCTTTACCCCAGTCCAAAATGGCGATCCTGCCTCCAGGAATCTCAGATGAGACTGAGACTGGAGAGCTGTCTCCTCCGTTCTATAATCCTCTCTAGTTCTGGGACTGAGGGCGTGCGCCACTACTTACTGGTGTCTGTGGCAAGCTGGAGTGGCTATGTGGATCAGAGGTGTGTGCAACCATAGCCTGGTCTGTGGCTGTTTTACTTTTCTGATCCTCAGGAAAGCTTTGTTCATTAAAGTACAAATGAAATGAAGTACATTTCCTCTTTCTGTCTAAAATAAAAAGAGGCTATAATAACATAAAGGAATACAATAAGTACAGTAACTATATACAATATATATAGGCAGTAACTACAACAACATGTCTAGTCCATTTGCCTCTGACAGACTCACAGAAATACTCCATTATCCTATCTTGTGAGTCCAAAGTCTTGTGCCTAATACTATAACTATTTAGTCTTCAGCCCCCTCGGAGACCCAAGAAGGAAATAATACTAACTGAGTAAGCAGGAACTGCAACAAGCAAGCGACTTCCAAAAAATGTGAAGTAATGACAGAAACAGCTGGCTGCCTGGACAGTCAACCAAAGTTCCTCTGAAATGTTGGCTCCATCTTCAGCCTACAGGCCTTGCATATTCGACAGATTTTTCTGTGAAGCAGGATATCCCTCCTTGTTTTTACAATGTTTGGCAGTCACTTTCTTTTGTGTCCTGCTTGTCTGATTAGGACAGCATATTGTCAACAGTTGAGGCACTGACATTTTCTTGCCCAGTGGCTTACTTTTACCACAAAGAAAGTAAGCTTCATCTTTAATGCCCATTATCTTAACTGACGTAGATTGGTGCTGCCTGGAGCAGACATGTCTCATTGTCATAAAAAAAAAAAAAGGACCCTAGGGTTATCAAAACCTCTTAAATGCCATATTCTGTAGATCTGTAGAAGTATTTGAAGATGACCTATTTATCTAAAATATATCTTTGTTTGATCTTGAAAACATACCTAATGTGACTGTAAGTTCAATTATAATAGGTGACTGATTATTAACCTGTTATCCCAAACAGTTCGTAATAATAACTTTCAAAGACTAGGAATTTGCATTACATAATTATATGAGATATATAGGTACAATGCCTTGAACAAAAGTAGAAATATATGTACAGTATGTTCTAACAAAAGTAATCTCAAATAGATATATACAAAATTTGTATGCAATATAAAAACATCCAATCCAATGTAAAACATTTTAAACCAGTAAGGTTAATTTCAGTTGTAAGAGCTGATTAATAAGAAGCCTGAACTAACAGTCCAAACAGTTTATAATTAATATAAGCCTCTTCTTTGGGACTGAACGGCTGTGGGGCTGGGCAGGACAGAGACTTCAGTTTACAGCCTTCTGTGTGCCAGGATGGCTGTTAGGAGCTACCACGCCCAGCTTCTTCTGTTTTAAAATGTATTTTCTTTTCTTTATTTTAAAAAATAATGTGTTTATAGAAAAATAAGAAGTCAGAATTTTTATGTGAATTTAATTTCCAAGAACATTCAGACTTTAGTTAAAATAAATTGTGAGTCTGGGGATGTAAGTGAGTGGTAGAGTGCTTGCCTAGGTATTCCAAGTGGTAGAGTGCTTGCCTAGGTATTCCAAGTGGTAGAGTGCTTGCCTAGGTATTCCAAGTGGTAGAGTGCTTGCCTAGGTATTCCAAGTGGTAGAGTGCTTGCCTAGGTATTCCAAGTGGTAGAGTGCTTGCCTAGGTATTCCAAGGCCCTACCCTCAGCCCCACTATTGTGGAAGGGAAGAGCAGGGGAGAAAAGAAGGGGAGGAAAGACAGAGATATATAAAGAAATAAATGAAAGGAAAAAATGTAATTAGACAAATCTCTTGCTGACAATCTGTTCTGCTGAGGGAAAGCAGACAGTAGAAAGACATGTGCTTTTGTTCATCAGGGTCCAGTGAACATGCATGAAGCATGCGTGAGGATGGGCAGCATCAGAGCACAGCCAGCGCAGCCAGCTCAGTGGGAGTGGGATTCTAGGAGAGAAAAGTGCATGGTGCATGGCTGACTGGATGACCCTTCTGTCGAGGTGGGGGAGTTTGTAGCTAAGGTTTGCTGTAACCTCTGCCTTCTGTTGAGATGGGGAGTTTGTAGCTAAGGTTTGCTGTAACCTCTGCCTTCTGTTGAGATGGGGAGTTTGTAGCTAAGGTTTGCTGTAACCTCTGCCTTCTGTTGAGATGGGGAGTTTGTAACTAAGGTTTGCTGTGACCTCTGGCTTCTGTTGAGATGGGGAGTTTATAACTAAAGTTTGCTGTGACCTCTGGCTTTTGTCGAGATGGGGAGTTTGTAACTAAGGTGCGCTGTGACCTCTGGCTTTTGCCCAGTTTGTAATTACAAATGCAGAGATTTACTTTTCTGCTATTAAAAGTGATTTCCTGGGTATTTAGGCATTGACACTTAGGTATTTTGATTTAAATGATGTATTCAAGGTAAAAAGCTTTTTGTTTGTCTTTGGCTTTTCTTTTTGTTTTAAGACTGAGTCTCTCTATGTAGCTTTGGCTATCCTGGAACTTGCTATTTAGTCTAGATTGGTCTTGTACCTACAGAGAGCTGCCTGCCTCAGCCTCCCAAGTGCTAGAATAAAAGCTGTGCACCACCATGCCTGGCCAGTAAAATGATTTTTTAACTTAACTCAGTGAAGCCAGTTAACTCGGGAATTTTTTCTTCTTTAGCTATAGGAGGTCATTCTTTCTTAGGTACTTTTCAACCTCTTAGTCAATTTTATCTCCCAGATATTCAGAAAACAGCCTTCTAACTAGACTGTAAAAGGCTAACCAACCCAATTATAAAATGGGGCATTGAGCTGAACAGAGAATTCTCAACAGAAGAACTTCAAATGGCCAAAAGACACTTAAGGTCATGCTCAACTTCCTTAGCAATCAGGGAAATGCAAATCAAGACAACTTTAAGATACCATCTTACACCTGTCAGAATGGCGAAAATCAAAAACACCAATGATAGCCTTTGTTGGAGAGGTTGTGGAGAAAGGGGTACACTCATCCATTGCTGGTGGGAATGCAAACTTGTGCAACCACTTTGGAAAGCAGTGTGGCGGTTTCTCAGGAAATTCGGGATCAACTTACCCCTGGACCCCGCAATACCACTCTTGGGAATATACCCAAGAGAGGCCTTATCATACAACAAAAGTATATGCTCTACTATGTTCATAGCAGCATTGTTTGTCATAGCCAGAACCTGGAAACAACCTAGATGCCCTTCAATGGAAGAATGGATGAAGAAAGTATGGAATATATACATATTAGAGTATTACTCAGCAGTAAGAAACAAGGACTTCTTGAATTTTGCATACAAATGGATGGAAATAGAAAACACTATCCTGAGTGAGGTAAGCCAGACACAAAAAGAGGAACATGGGATGTACTCACTCATATTTGGTTTCTAGCCATAAACCAAGGACATTGAGCCTATAATTAGTGATCCTAGAGAAGCTAAATAAGGAGAACCCAAAGAAAAACATATAGGCATCCTCCTGAATATTAACCTTCAGCAAGCGATGAAAGGAGACAGAGACAGAGACCCACATTGGAGCACAGGACTGAATTCTCAAGGTCCAAATCAGGAGCAGAGGGAGAGAGAGCACGAGCAAGGAACTCAGGACCATGAGGGGTGCACCCACACACTGAGACAATGGGGATGTTCTACTGGGAACTCACCAAGACCAGCAGGCCCGGGTCTGGAAAAGCCTGGGATAAAACCGGACTCTCTGAACATAGCGGACAATGAGGACTACTGAGAACTCAAGAACAATGGCACTGGGTTTCTGATCCTACTGCACGTACTGGCTTTGTGGGAGCCTAGGCAGTTTGGATGCTCAACTTACTAGACCTGGATGGAGGTGGGGGGTTCCTTGGACTTCCCACAGGACAGGGAACCCTGATTGCTTTTCGGGCTGAGGGGGGGGACTTAATTAGGGGAGGGGGAGGGAAATGGGAGGCGGTGGCTGGGAAGAGACAGAAATCTTTAATAAATAAATAAATTAAAAAAAAATAAAATTATCATGGCAAAAAAAAAATTTTTAGATTTAGATCCCTTTTACACTGCCCTAATTGTTGGCAGGCAGCACATGTAATTTTATGTGGAATAGGCATTTAGGAAGGAGGATACCTAAGGCCAGATTAAAAGGTGAATACTGGGTTTGGAAAATGCCCTTTCTTCTTGTCTGGAAGATGGAGTTATTGGTGCCCAAAATTATATCATTATATTTTGTTTGAGGAGCTCCTCACAGCCTTTTTATTAATGATAGACGCAGGGGCCCAATGACGGGAGTTAGTGTGGATCCTCGCCTGAACAGCACACTATACAGAGGTTGTAGAAACCGGCTCAACAATGGCATGGTGCCAGGCACGAGGAGTGCCCTCTACATAGCCTAAGACAGGGTGCCCTGTGATCTGTTTACTTTAAATCTCGCTAGATACTTTCATTTGAGGAGCTCCAAGGACGGGTGACTTGTGGCAGGAAATCCCCCAACCTAAGACAGGATACTGGGAATCCTAGGACGGGTAAGGGGGATAAAGACCTGGTCCCCACTCGACCTAAGAATCATAAGGCACCCCTCTGTTCCCAGGAGAGGTAAATTGCTTCACCATTCGAGAGGAGGGTCTCTCCTTGTCCCAGTCCCTTCTCCTTTAGATCTGACACCGTGGTTGGACTCTGACCTGATGCCCTTCACTTAATAGCTGCCTGTCTTTATAAAAGAAAGGGGGATCTGTCAGGAGCCAATTTCCTCCTAAAATCATTACAGGAACCATCACCCTGGGGAGTCTGCAGAGAACCCCACACCCTTAATTGTGTTAGGAATAGTTCTATTGACAGAGCCTACCCCACACCCAAATTGGCTGTTAATGAGAGCTATCTGTTAGCGGAACCCACCCCACATTCCAAACTATCTAGGGATCTAGGTGTGTCAACTCAGTGACTTCTTGGCCTACAGTGACCTGACCGAAGACAACCTCCTGCCTACGTGACCAACTCGGACCATGTGACCAACGTGAACCATGCGGCAAGAGCCCAGGCCCCTGCGCCCACCCCCCAACTCTTTACCCTATAAAAGTTGTACCCCGTCTCTAATAAACGGAGGCTTTGACAAGAAAAAAAAAAAAAAGAAAACAGCCTTCTCCCTGCAATTATTAATGCAGACCTATGGCTTGGAACTAAAGTTAATGTGGATTATCTACTGTATTTCTGCAACAATTCAAACAGCTTCAGAGATCTTAGAAATCATATGACCCAATCCTGTTATCGCACAAATGAAATGACATTCTGATAAGCAGTGACTTGGCCAGGAATGTGGCTGTGTGGGAAAGTAAGCCACAACTGGAGCTCTTGAATTGGCGGGTTTTCCCAGTGTGCTCTGTTTCATCAGTTACTGAGTCAAATCAAGATTTCTTCCCACAGACATCTGTAGAATGCTTTTTTTTGTATTTGAGGTGCTTCCACCAACCCTGCCTTAAGTTAGACAACATATTATTTTATATTAAGTTAGATAATACATTCTTTTATATTAAGTTAGATAATATATTCTTTTGTTTGAGGCAATGAACTTAAAAGTTGGTGATTTTTCCCATGGGAAACCTTACCCTCTCTCAGAAGTGGGTGGGGGTAGGGGAGAAAGTAGAGGGTGCAGGAGGAAGGAAGGGAGTGGGAACTGGGATTAGTATGTAAAATGACAAAAGATAGTTTTTTAAAATTAATTAACTAATTTAAAAAGTTGGTGACTTCACAATTAGTTTCACCCATATAAAATATGTATATATAATATACATATATATAATATTCTACTTTTGTGCATCTTACTTGAGTATAGGCAAGGAAAGAGTGTGTATGGTGGAATTGGTCTCCTAATTCAGAGTTTGTATAATGCATTCAGTAGATGCTGGTGTCTGGTTTTATCACTTTCATGGCTTCCTTGTCCTTGCTTTAGTGAATTTCAGATCTGTTCAAGTTCCTGAATGTTGTACACCCCTCTGTGCACGGCTCTGGTTACTGCGCCTTCCCTCTTCAGCAGTAGTTGCTTTCTTGAGCTTGGGTATTGGGTTCAGTGGTTCTAGGAGATGGCATGGCACCCTGCACTGACGAATTCTAGCAATTTGTATTGGAACCATCGTGGTCTGGTACGTTGAAGCTAGTCCTCTCTGAATCAACACTTTATGAGTTAGTCGTTACTTAATTGCCATGTGCCTCCATTACTTGAGATGGCAGAGGAACCACCTTGCTAGAGAGTGAGATTTCTCTTTCTACTGAAGACAACACAGGAAAGTAAACTCCTATAACATTACTGTTTAAATTTTTTTTTCTGAGACAGTCTCTCTGTGTAGCCCTGGACATCTTGGAGCTTGCTGCGTAGACCTTACTGGCCTCAAACTCATAGAAATCCCCCTCGCTCCTACCCCTGCTTTACTGTTGCCAGTTTTGATATGGTTTCTAGCAGGAAAACATAATTTTGAAATGTTCTACTTATTAATGAAGTACTGTTATTAAATGTAAATTTTAATTTAGAAGTAGTTTATGCCATTAATTTTACTCATATCCTACATTTGTGTCTGTAGATAGCTTTACAAGGACATTCCTGCAGTGTTGAAAACACCTCATTCAGTACTTCATCCATTTTTTGCTAAATACTTTAAATTTTTGAGACAGTGAGAAATTGGCTGAATAAAAAGTGTGAGAAGCTAACAAGAATTTGAATTTTGTGAGGTTGGGAAAGGGAAGTCAAAAGTGACCTCCAACGTAGTGACATAAACAGAATCCCATAGCACCATACAAATCAAAGCAGAGTGAAGTCCTGAGGAACGCTTCAGCAGTCATGCCGAGTCCTGTGCAGTAACCTTTCAAGGGAAATAATGAACTGTGTTCTCCCTAGTCTCATACAGGCTCAGCTGGGATGCATTCCTATACAAGATTTTACTTTGACACAAGATACCTCGAAGATTTTCAGAAGTGGCTCACGAATTGTAAGATGTATGTTAAATCATTAATGGATTTTCATTTTTCTCAGTAAATTAATATAGTATATTTAATATTGGAAATTTTGTTTTAGGGTTGTCAGATTTTGTGGCTTGCCAGGAAAAGAAGTTTGCTGTGCTTTTAAACAGTGTGATTTTAACTAAATGCTTTAAGTGTAAGCTTTGGGAAAACTCTCGACATGTATCTAAACAGCTGGATAAAATCGGTAGGTACTCAAGACAGACAGGCTGTTTGTCATTGTCTGTAGTTTCTTCTATATTTTACTATTAATATTACTTTATGATGGTTATAGAACTTAAGGAAAACATGCCTGTATAAAGAACTGTGCTTATATTTGAAAACTAGAATGTTATTTGTTCTTGTTTAAATGATTACCAATGAGAGCTGGTGAGATGGCTCCATGGGCAAAGGTGCTTGCTCCCAAGCCTGGCGACCTGAGTACCGTCCTCCAGACCTCATGGTGCAAGGAGAGCCTGCTTCTCTGCCTCAGCCTCTGTGTTTCACACACGCGCGCGCACACACACACACACACACACACACACACACACACACGTAAATAAACAAATGCAAAACAGTCAATTATGCTGGGTGATGGTGCAGGCCTTTAATCCCAGCACAGGCAGGTGGATCTCAGTGAGTTCAAGGCCAGCCTGGTCTACAAAGTGAGTTCCAGGACAGACATAGCTACACAGAAAAACCCTGTCTTGAAAACCGAGAGAGAGAGAGAGAGAGAGAGAGAGAGAGAGAGAGAGAGAGAGAGAGGGAAACTAATCAAGTGCAAAAATACATGAGAAATCTAATCTTGTTCTTCTATTGACAGTGCACTGTGTTTTAATGATTAGGTAATATATGACATTATCTCTCACTTCTGAGTAATAATTTACTGTTTCCTTAGTGACAAGATACAAAACTTTCAAGAACAAACCCAGGCCTTGTGTAGTCTAGAAAATTATGCCATTTATTTGACTTTTTTTTTCTGTTTTCAGAAACAGCAGGATATTAGTGCCCATCTTAGTGTTTCTGCAGACAGGAGGTTACTCTGTTTCTGTTAGAACCCAGTGTAGGGTGTGCTATAAAATGCTACAATATGCTTGTCATAAAAGCTGGATCAGACTGAAGAATTCTGCTGTTTCCCAGTTTCTTACCTTGACTTTGTGACCCTACTTCCTAAATAAGTAATATTTTAAAAAGAGTTATTATTCCAAGATTGACAGCCTCATTGGTTTTGTGATTGTATATGTGTCTTGGGAAGATTAAAAATGGAAATTATATAATGGAAGCTGGGTGTGGTGGTGTGCTCCTATAATCATGCCATTCAAGATATAGACCAAGAATACAGGAGTTCAAGGCCAGCACTGGTTATAAGTAAGTTTAAGGATGGCCTGGACTATTAATTCGTGAGACCCCTGTCTCAGAACCAACCGAAGAGCTGGGCATTGTGGTGCACGCCCTAGCCCTATCACGTTGGCAGAAACAGGCAGTTCTCTGAGTCTGAGGCATCCTGATTTATGGAGGAAGTTTCAGGAAAACCCCAATAAACAAAACAAAACAAAAACCTAACTAAACAAAGTATTATGTGATGGATCTTTAGGGATTTCATTCAGTTGGTTTGGGTTTTTCTGCCCTGGGCGGGGTGCCAAAGGCGGGGGAGTCAAGATCAGACCAAGGGCACAAGCTACACAAGCAATCTACCACTGAGCCACAACCCTACCCCCTGTCCTGTTGTTTTTGCTATGGATTGAATATGTAGTTAAGACTGCTTTGGGGAATTTGTGATCCTTCTGGCTCAGTCTCCTGAGGGTTGGAATTACAAGCATTCACTATCACAAGACTTTTTTAAAAAAAATAATTTTTATTTTCTTTATATTTTAATGTATGCATAGGTACCCACAATTATTACAGACGAGAGTGCCAGATATTGTAGAGCGGAGTTACAGGCACTTGTGAGCCGTCTGCCATGGGCGCTGGAAACCAAACACAGGTCTTCTGGAAGAGCAGTACTGGCTCTTCACAGACCGATTCCCTTAACTACAACTTTGTTATTTGAGCAGAGATCTCCAACTGCTTTTTTTTAATCCCACTGGTTTTTTTTTTCTTTTTTTGAAACAAGGTCTTACTATATAGCTCTAGCTGTCTTATACCTCACTACATAGACCAGGCTGGCCTCTAACTCACAGAATCTGCCCGCCTCTGCCTCTTCACTGCTGGGATTAGGAGTGGAAGTGAGCCACCATGCTCTGCAAGTTCTACTTACTGATTTCTATGAAATGCACAGTCAGTGAGGGTGACAGAACTGGGATAGTGGCGGTGTTAGCTGCTGAGAGTGGGGTGAAAATAGAAATCCCTGCTGGAACCGGGCGGTGGTGGCGCACGCCTTTAATCCCAGCACTCGGGAGGCAGAGGCAGGCGGATCTCTGTGAGTTCGAGACCAGCCTGGTCTACAAGAGCTAGTTCCAGGACAGGCTCCAAAACCACGGAGAAACCCTGTCTCGAAAAACCAAAAAAAAAAAAAAAAAAAAAAAAAAAACCAAAAAAAAAAAAAAAAAGAAATCCCTGCTGGGATTCAGTGTATTAGCTGCTTTTCTCTGCTGAGTCCAGATAACTGACAAACACCATCAGAAAGGAGGAGATTGCTTAGGCTCATGGTTTGATGGGATAAACTCCATCATCGGGGCAGACCAGGGCAGCAGAATATGGTGTGGCTCCTCACACTGCGTCTGCAGTCAGGAGGCGAGAGAAGTGACTCCTGGTGCCTGGGTTGCTGGCTTTTCTCCCTTTTCATTCAGTTCAGGACCCTGGCCTTGGTGACAGACCCACTGCATTCAGAGGGGTCTTCCTTCATCAGCTGACCCTCTCTGGTGTTACCCTCGTCAACATGCACATAGTTGTGTTTGCTAGGCAGTGTTTGTTTTATTTTGTTATTTTGTATGTTGGGAGTGTTTTGCTTGTATGTATGCCTGTATACCACATGCATTCAGTGCCCTCCTGGAGGACAGGAGAGGGTGTTGGATCCCCTGGGACTGGGATTACAGGTGGTTGTGAGCAGCCAAGTGGGTGCTGAGGATTGGAACCCCTGGAAGAGCCATTGCTCCAGCTCCTCCCCCCAGCTCCTCCCCAGTTCCTCCCTCCAGTTCCTCCCCCTCAGCTCCTCCCTCCAGCTCCTCCCCTAGCTCCTCCTTCCAGCCCCTCCCCCAGCTCCTCCCTCCAGTTCCTCCCCCCAGCTCCTCCCTCCAGTTCCTCCCCGTTAGCTCCTCCCTCCAGCTCCTCCCCCAGTTCCTCCCTCCAGTTCCTCCCCTCAGCTCCTCCCTCCAGCCTCTCCCCCAGTTCCTCCGTCCAGCTCCTCCCCCAGTTCCTCCCTCCAGTTCCTCCCCCCAGCTCCTCCCTCCAGTTCCTCCCCCTCAGCTTCTCCCTCCAGTTCCTCCCCTCAGCTCCTCCCCAGCTCCTCCCCCAGTTCCTCCAGTTCCTCCCCCCAGCTCCTCCCTCCAGTTCCTCCCCCTCAGCTCCTCCCTCCAGCTCCTCCCCCAGTTCCTCCCTCCAGTTCCTCCCCTCAGCTCCTCCCCAGCTCCTCCCCCAGTTCCTCCAGTTCCTCCCCCCAGCTCCTCCCTCCAGTTCCCCCCCCCCCCCCCCCAGCTTCCCCAGCTCCTCCTGGTGGTTCTTGCTCTAGTCAATCACGGAGAAGATGACCCATCACACTGAAGGCCAGGCAAACTAAATGTCCCAGTCATCTATAAAGATAGGCATTCTAACCTGGGAAGGAAGTTCCATACAAGATTTAGAAAACAGCATCTTAAAAGAAAATTTTGAAAGTAGTTCAAGGCATCTAATAAGTTTTATTCTGCTAAATTACTGTTTTTGGCTTTCTAGAGAACTGTTAGCCTGGGTGTCTGTTGTATTCAGTCTTTCCAGATTAATGAAAAACCAGTCTGCTTTCACACATGCAGTGGTATTTCAATTGTATAGATAAAACTGCCTGAAGATCTGAGAGTAAAACAGCCCGACTGGCCAGCCTTACAGACCAGGTTATGGTAACACACACCTTTAATCCCAGGAGCCACCCTAGTTGCCATAGAAATCGGGTGATGCATGCCTTCAATCCCAACCCTAGCAAGGAATATAAAACGGGTGGGGCAGGGTGAGGTGAGACAGCTCTCAACACACAGTCTCATTCTGAGATTCCAAGAGGCAGGATCAGGATCACCATTTCAGCCTAAGGTAAGAGCCAGTAGCTAGGCGTTTTGCATTTTGGATTTTCAGGCTGAACCCCAGTTTCTCTCTCTGAATTTTTATTAATCTTGCTTCACACACATGAATCGGTACTATTGAACATAAAAGAGAATGTAGCTCTAAAACCAAACTTGAAAGAAGCAAGGAGTATGAAGGAGTTGCTTATACTAGAAAGTGACTGAAAAGTTAGAGTAAGGAATGAGATGTCTGTCACACCTTCAGCAGTAACACATGCTTAGATAAGTAGGCCTTGTTTGGAATCTCTTTAAATAGGATTCATGTAAATTTATTGTAAAACATGAATTTAAAATTATAGGTTCTGAAGGTGTAAACAGGTGAAGTAGTCCTAAGTAACATGGACTTGATGTGTGTAAGGAGCAGAGAAAGGAAATGTGACCCAAGAATACTCAGCAAGAGCGAGGAACAGGGAATCAGGTGGAGGCGCTCAGCCTAGGAAATTCAGCTCCAGAAGCAGAGTTGACGCTTGATTCTGAATGCATCAGAGGTTATGCAGGGACATAAACCGTAACTTCAGCACGTGGTCTTTGGAGGACACACTCAACAGTACACAGACTACAGCTGTTGGATATTTGACTCAATGTTTTTAAAATATTTTTTATTTAAATTTTTTAAAATTTTGCATAATAACTCCTCCCTCCCCTTCCTCTGCCCCTCCCCACATCCTCCCATCCCACCCCATCCACTCCTCAGAGAAGATAAGGGCTCCCTTGGGGAGTGAATAAAGTCTGTACACCAAGTAGAGGCAGGATCAAGCCCCTTCACCCTATATCAGAGCTGAGCAAGGTATCCTACCACAGGGAAAGGGCTCCAAAAAGCCAGGTCATGCACCCAGGACAAGTCTTGACTTAATGTTTTTTTTTTATTGTTTTTTAAATTTATTTATTTATTAAGGATTTCTGCCTTCTCCTCGCCACCGCCTCCCATTTCCCTCCCCCTCCCCCGATCAAGTCCCTCTCCCTCATCAGCTCGAAGAGCAATCAGGGTTCCCTGACCTGTGGGAAGTCCAAGGACCGCCCACCTCCATCCAGGTTTAGTAAGGTGAGCATCCAAACTGCCTAGGCTCCCCCAAAGCCAGTATGTGCAGTAGGATCAAAAACCCATTGCCATTGTTCTTGAGTTCTCAGTAGTCCTCATTGTCCGCTATGTTCAGCAAGTCCGGTTTTATCCCATGCTTTTTTGGACCCAGGCCAGCTGGCCTTGGTGAATTCCCGATAGAAGATCCCCATTGTCTCAGTGTGTGGGTGTACCCCTCGCGGTCCTGAGTTCCTTGCTCGTGCTCCCTCTCCTTCTGCTCCTGATTTGGACCTTGAGATTTTTGTCCGGTGCTCCAATGTGGGTCGACTTAATGTTTTTATGTTTTTTTGTTTTTTTTTTTGGTTTTTCGAGATTACTTAACAGTTAATTTTTGCAGCCCTGGGGATTGACACGAGGGTCCTATATATTCTAGGTTAACTGCTCTACCACTGAGTACATACCTAGCTAAAAAAGTTTTTATTCATGTAGTTGCTGAAGTTTCTATTTCATTTAAAATGGCTTAAAATCACTCTTTGGTTAATTTTCCACAGGCATATCATTGTCAAATACCATGGTAAATGCAGGTTTGACTTCCTTTAAAAAAATAGAAGAAGCAAATGCAAGAGAAATTGAACTGGTATGTAGTATTCTCTGTTCCTAGTGTTACTGGGTTCTATTTAAATTCCAAACCCCACTGTGTATGTCTTTATTTCTATTAAATTTATTTGTTTGGGCGATGACTCTGTCAGTGGAGTACATGTACACAAGCCCGAAGATCCAGGTTCAGAGCTCAGCACCCATGTCAGAAACTGGACCTAGGAGCACACATCTGTAACTCCAGCTCTAAGAGGTGAAAACAGGGCAGCCTGGTCTTGCTGCTCCTGTGTCTGGAGGAGTCAGTAGGCACCAGTCCTCCTGAGACAAAGGTGGTGAGCAGTGCAGCGATAGCCAGTGCTGACCTCTGCTCTTCTCATACTGCACAGACTCTTAGTGCTACATCACACACACAAATATTTCCTTTTTCATTGTAAGCATTTCAGTTGCTGGTGTTTGGGGTGGGTGACAAACCTGATTAAGCCTGTGAGTTCTAAGAAATATTTCAATGAGAGTTTTAAGTGTTTGTGGTAAGAATATAATGATATAATATGTTTAGATTTTAAGTAGACTTCCGCCTTTCGGAACCCTGATAAAAGAAGCTGTGATGTATCTACCAAAGTATGAGCTTGAAGTGGAGCAGGTGAATATTCTCTTTCTTAAATATTCTGTCTCCTTAAAAGTAAAGCTTCCCATGGCTAAAATTGAAGCTGGGTATGAATAGTAAGATTATTTTAAAGTTTTTTATACTTGTTATTTTTTTTGAAGATTTCTAGATACAGTGACACCAAGGCCGAGATATTGGTGACTGTTGTATTAAGAAACTTTGAGCAGCTACAGACCAAAAGAACAGCACCAGACTCTCACTACACTACCTTAATCATAGGCGATGCAGATAATCAAGTTGTTTTTAAGCACAAAATTATGTGAGTGATTATGAAATGCTTAATTAATTTTATTTTTAAGTATATTGTACATGAAACTTTTACTGTAAGATACAATAATTAGATCATCACATAATCAACTAAATTACAGTTCCCTGATGTAAGAATGGCAAGTGTTCCACTTGTCTGTTGAGGAGGGTCAACGCTAACTTTAGGTCTCTATTTAGAACTAGATGAAGAAATTATAAAATTTGTCACCATGGAGGGATTGGTAACAAGAGAACAGATGCCCCCGGGGCCTTTCTGATTTGCTGTTCTTCTTCTTTTTATGGCCTGACTCCTCTTTGAATACAGTCTTGTACTTAACTCAGAATATAGCCTCTATCTGTAGATTCTATCTCCAGATTAACATGTAAACAGCTCCTGTAACTCATTTTACCTAGTTCCTCTAGTGGGCCTTTTGTAATTTTTACTTCAGCGTCTTCTAAATATTATTTTTCTCTCACAATGTAAATCTCAAGATGTCAGTTTCTGTCGTCGCTAGTCCTTTTTTAGTACTTAGTAGGCCACAAATGGTGATTTACTTAATATTGTATGAGATAGGTGCTATCATAATTCACATTTTGTAGAGGAAGAAACTGTAGCTAGTTGATAATAAAGTCCAGATTGACCCTGCCTGAGCTCACGGTATCACTACAGCGCTAAGTTAGGAATGGCAGAGCCTGTACGACTGGAGTCTGCTAGCTGTCAGGACGCAGGAGGATCCATGAAGATTTCTAAGGGGCTGAGCAGTAGGATGCTCTTCTCAGTCACTGCTCTCCCACAACCAGCCTCACACACTTAGAACAACTTTGTACAAATCCTTAATCCTGGGGACTACGAGAATGAATTAAGCTCACTAATTTTTTTCTTGTCTGTGTCAATATTAGATATAAACTATTTCAAATTCAATTTAAAAGATTGTTGAAGTTGTTTCTCACAAATAAATATAACTTATGCACAATCAAATTAAAGAAGCAACTCGTGTCTTAGTAATAACAACTGTGTATTTTTGTTTGGCCTCAAATGAATCGGTGCAGCTTGGGATCAACAACTGTTAAACAATTAGCTCCGTTGTCAGGTGTAGCTTATGCCTGTAATCCCAGCTGGTGGAAGGGGAGAATGCAAGAGGATCCGCACTTCCAGGTCATTCTGTGTGAGGAGTGAACAACAGATCCATTGACAACTCTTCCTCCTCACAACTTGGTGGAAGTCCCAGTGGTCGTTTACTGCTACTGCAGATCTGTCTTAGAACAGCTCATCCCTGAAATCAGTAGATTAGTTCATTTAGGGTTTGCGTCGTGTTAAAGTTGACATTACTGTTTTTCAGGGATTCTGTTTTGTTAAAAAATGGAAATTGGGCTAAAAAAATTGATGTGAAGAGAGCTCTTATATCTGAAGATCTTAGCATTAATCTAATTAGTTCTGATTATGGTAAGTTAATTGACAATGAAGATATCAATACAAAAATGTGACAGCATTTAAAATTATTTCCTTTACGCTAGCTGATACAGAAAAATAATAAAACTAATATACTTACTGTGAATAAGCGTTAAGGGAAATTTCATATACTTAGGTAACATAATTCAATTTTCTTTATTCACTTAAAGACTTTTGTTTTCTAATATAATTAAATTTCAATTATAGCATTTAAAAATGTTATTAAGATAAATGTACATATTTTCTTTATCATATTTTAATCTTTTCAAAAATATTTAAATTTCCTGTACTTCTTACCTGTAGTGCTACAGTAATAAGGGATATAAATTAAAATAAATAACCTCATGTAAAGACTTAATATGATTTTAATAAGCATTTGCATGCATCTTTTTCTCTTTCTAGTTGGTCTTGATATTCAGCAGAAATTTACAGTCTTTTATTTAGGCCCCAGGAGGTATGTAAATCAAACAGTTATGCAAGGAAGGTTAGAAACAGACATTTCTCATCCCAAGCACTCAAACAGAGCTGCTGCAGCAGTGTACAATGAAGGTAAACAGCACTATTCATTTCTGCTTTCCATAACATCAGTGTGGCCTGGAGGGGTGTTACCATAGGATCACTCTCTCAATTGCTGGTCTCTGGGATTGCGTATTTAGGCTTCAGATAATAACAACATACTAATAGTATATAGTAGTAATTATCTGTTATGATTAATATTTTTCAAATTGAGATGTTAGTTGAGCAATACATTATTTGATCAGTCTTTATATATATTATCCATTTTCATGTGTATTTCACTTTTTGGGTCATTCTCTGGGGAGGATGGTGATTTTTGGGAGTCCTCAGACTCGATGAATCAGACCAGAGTGAAAATGAATTTAGCTTTTTACCAGGAGTAATTTTAAACATACATAAAGTGTGTAATGAACTCCTGGATACTCAATAGCCACCTTAAACAAGAATCAACTCATAGCTTTTACTGTGTACCTAATGTCTTGTTCAGTTTTCACCTTTTGTAATCTGAAGCCAATACCAGATAGTGCACCATTCCCATGCAAATGTTTCATTGAAAATTTGTAAATGGTAACGATTTGTAAAGCTATCTTTTACACATAAAAGTTGATGCCATCCATTACTTAGTGTTCAAATTACTGTCTCATAATTTACATGGCCATCTAAGGACTGCGTCTGTCATCTTGCTATGATGTAGGTATACAAACTCTGGGCCCTTTCGGCTCACAGCTAGTCATTTCAGCAGGTGTTTGACTGCACCACGACAGGGGCAGCTACGCGAATTGCAGGAGTCTGCACTGGGACTCGGTGTCCCAGTGGGCAGCCCTGAGCTAACACTGGGACCTCTGCAAACATCACAACTGTTAGCTGCAGTCAGTTCTCCTGAACATCATCCAAGTGAAGATAGTCAACCAGGAATAGTCACATTAAAAAAAAGAAGGGGGGGGGGACTGCAAACAGGAGGACATATATACTCCAGAAGATACGCAAAAAAGAATGGGGGGGACTGCAAACAGGAGGACATACATACTCCAGAAGATACGCAAAAAAAAATGGGGAGGACTGCAAACAGGAGGACATATATACTCCAGAAGATATGCAAAAAAGAATGGGGGGGACTGCAAACAGGAGGACATATATACTCCAGAAGATATGCAAAAAAGAATGGGGGGGACTGCAAACAGGAGGACATATATACTCCAGAAGATACGCAAAAAAGAATGGGGGGGACTGCAAACAGGAGGACATATATACTCCAGAAGATACGCAAAAAAGAATGGGGGAGGGGACTGCAAAGAGGAGGACATATATACTCCAGAAGATACGCAAAGCAAAACAAAGAAAAGGTAAGAATGTGAGACAGCTTCCCATCCCAACACCCTACAAGCTGACCGGCCCCTCAGCACCCGACAAGGGAGATGAAGAACTAAAGGTCATGGCGAACAATGAGGGCTGATGAGAAGCCAAGGACGATGGCAGGGGGTTTTGATCCTACTTAATGTTCTGGCTTTGTGCGAGCCTAGCCAGTTTGGATGTTCACCTTCCTAGATATGGACAGGGGGGAGGACCTTGGATTTTCCACAGAGCAGGGAACCCTGACTGCTCTTGGGACTGGAGAGGGAGGGGGAGAAGGGTGGGAGGAGGGGAAGGGGATTGGGAGGCTGGGAGGAAGCAGAAACTTTTTTTCTCCTTTTTTTCAATAAAATAAAAAAATAAAAAAGAACTAAAGGTCAGCGGCTACAGGACTCAAACAGATAAGGAATTAATTTAGGACCTGGCCAAGAATGTTAAAGTAAGTTTAACATTTAGACAACAAAGTTGTCAAAAAGTAGATAAAAGAATCAATAACATCGTGGAAACTTTTAAAACATGGAGGGTAATTATGGGAATTACCACAGAAATTGAGATGCTTAAAAACAAAAGAAAACAACAAAAAACCCAAATTCTGGAAGTGAAAGGGAAACAACAGCAACAGCAGACAGAAACCAAAGAGCAGCTTCAGGGATGGAGAGCAAGGCTGGAATAGTAACATACAGTCATATGTAGAGTGGGGAAATTAATGAATATGACCAAAAACTTGTACAAAACATGCGATACATTCAGGAGACCAAATTTTAGAATTCTCAGGATATATGATGTCATAAATAATTTAGACAATCTATTAATGAAATCATGGGTGAGAATTTAAGCCTACAAAAAGACGGTTAAAGGAAACATTTGGAACCCCAAATAGATTTGACCAGAAAAGAACCTTTCTATGATTTATCATAGTCAAGATGTCAAAAGTAAAAAACAAACAATACTAAAAGCTGTAAGGCTGTGGGCAAAGAGGCAAAAAGATCATAATAGCATTTAGATCTGTCTTCAGCAACCCTGAGCTAGGAAACATAAATGATGCCTTTCAAGCCCTGAAAGTAAATATCAACTGTCAAGACTGCTGTACTCACCAAAGTACTCTGTTCACACTGGAAGTAATATCAATTGTCAAGACTGCTGTACTCACCAAAGTACTCTGTTCACACTGGAAGTAATATCAACTGTCAAGACTGCTGTACTCACCAAAGTACTCTGTTCACACTGGAAGTAATATCAACTGTCAAGACTGCTGTACTCACCAAAGTACTCTGTTCACACTGGAAGTAATATCAACTGTCAAGACTGCTGTACTCACCAAAGTACTCTGTTCACACTGGAAGTAATATCAACTGTCAAGACTGCTGTACTCACCAAAGTACTCTGTTCACACTGGAAGTAATATCAACTGTCAAGACTGCTGTACTCACCAAAGTACTCTGTTCACACTGGAAGTAATATCAACTGTCAAGACAGCTATACTCACTAAAGTACTCTGTTCACACTGAGGAGGAATGGGAATATTTCAAGACAAACACAAGCTAAAGCAATTCATGCTAAGTCAGAAATACAGAAAATCCTTAAAAAAACAATACAGAGAAATAAGAAGGACAGTGTCACCCACTAGAACATAGGAAAGAATACACAGCACAGATGAGCACCAGGAAGCTGGGAGGGAATGAATATTGTCTGACACAGCAAATTATCAAGCATCCAGTGCCACCAGGAGAGAAAAAAGAGTAACCAATAAATCAGCGAACAAGAGTGACAACCAATAGACTCATCAGTAATAGCAACAATATACTCATTAATAATAGCAATAATAGACTCATCAATAATAGAAACAATATACTCATTAGTAATAACAACAATAGACTCATCAGTAATAACAACATATACTCATTAGTAATAGCAATAACAGACTAATCAGTAATAGCAACAATAGACTCATTAGTAATAACAACAATAGACTCATCAGTAATAACAATATGCTCATTACTAATAGCAATAATAGACTCATCAGTAATAGCAACAATAGACTCATTAGTAATAATAATAGATTCATTAGTAATAACAACTATAGACTCATTAGTAATAGCAACAACAGACTCATCAGCAATAGCAATAATAGACTCATTAGTAATAGCAACAACCAATAAACTCATCAATAATAGCAAACCCTTCACTAATTTGAAGTCTTTAAAGTAACTTGTAGGGCTGGAGAGATGAGTCTGTGGTTAAGATCACTGACTGCTCTTCCAGAGGACCTGGGTTCAATTCCCAGCACCCACATGGCAGCTCACAACTATCTGTGACTCCAGTTCCAGCGTACCTGACACCCTCACACAGATATGTTTGCAGGTGAAACACCAGTGCACATAAATAAAAAATTTAAATTATAGAAATGAAAGAATCAAAACAGCAGAAACTATCATCAGCACCTTGAATGCACTTACCAATGAGAAGACACAGCCTGCCTCCTTTGCTTCCTGTTGCTGTGATAAACCGTCAACCAAAAGCAGTCAATTTACGTGTTATGGACCATCTTCCCCTAGAAGCAGAAACTTGAGACAGGAACCTGTAGACAGGAACTAAAGCAAAGGCCATAGAGGAACTCTGATTACTGGCTTGTCTCCTAGATTACCACTCAGCTACGTTTTTTATATAGCTCAGACCCACCTGCCTAAGCCCACAGTTGGCTGGGCCCTATCGTATCAATTGGAAATCAAGAAAATCTCCCCACTGACACTCCCACAGTCCACTCAGATAGAGACAGTTCCTCAATTGAGATTCTCTCGTCTCAGGAATGTCAAGTTGACAGTCAAGATTAGCCACCACAAAGACTAAATAAATACAAAACAAACAAAAGAAGATCCAATTATCCCTTGTCACCCAAGAAACTCACATAACTAGAAAAGACAACCAAATATTTAGAGTCTAAGGTTAGAAATAAACTTATCAAGCAAATAGAAACCACAAACAGGCTGGGTTAGTGATTTCCATCTGATAAGCAGACTTCAAAACTACTCAGAAAAATATTAACCACATATTAATAAAGGGAACCATTCACCAAGAGGATATAACCATTGCAAATATTTATGTACTGGGTCTTGGGACCCAGAGTCCCATGAAATAAACAATAACAATTTCAAAGGTCACATCGGTCCTGACACAGTAATAGTAGACTTCAATAACTCTCATATCTAGAGAGGCTTTTCACACTAAAACACAGCAAATGAACGTAAAACAAATTATATCACCAGTCAACAGGGCTTAACAGATATCTACAAGATTGCATCATCAATAGATAGAGCATAATCTCCTCACTCCTGACAAGACCTTGCAAACCTGTCTTGAAATACTGGGGCGCTTGTGGAATTCCTGTCAGGCTTCTAGACCCAGTTAATTTCTGCTGAGGGGATCGCAGGCACATACACTGTCCTGGTACACCATCTTGTGGCAGTCTTACAAAATGCAGCTTGCAAATATCTTGATTTATGACAAAAAAATTATAAGGCATTTCCTCGTGGTCATCGCATCTTTCTCTAAGTGAATTAAATGAACCCTTTGGGAGAGAATTAACACTGCTAATGTAATTCAGGAGGTGGAACGGCTGATAGACAAGGCTCCAGAAGTGGGCTGTGGAGATCACTCTCTCCGTTGTCTTTGTGTTAAACCCACAGTTTGAGCATGGACCCTGCATCTGCTATGGGTTAGGTTCTCACATGTGCAGTGGATATGCAGAAGGAAGACAGCTGAGGACGATCAGATAGTGGAGGAAAACGCGGAACATAGAAATCCCAGAGTAGACAAAAGTGGTGAAAGAGTCATAGGATAATGCCAGAATTAACAGATTTAATATTAAAATAGCAACCTTAGAATAAGAATAGGCACAGAGAAGTCAAATCTGTGATTAGAGGCAAACACTGGAGGCAAAGTACAATCTAAGTGAAAGCAAATCAGAGACCAAGGAAATAGACCAAGAGACAACCTAGGAGCCTACAGTCAAGTAAGTGTCCTAAAAAGAGAGAACAAAAAAATCAGAGGAAAAAGTAGGGAAAAATTTTGAGACCTACCATAAGGTATAAGTCTGTCCATCCAAAAAGAAAAAGAAAAAAAAAGCACTTCCTGTTAGGACAGATGAAAGAAAATCTATTAATGAGGCATTATCACAGCATTCAAAAGACCATCAGGGTCAGGAGAGATGGCTCAATGGGTAAAAGTGCTTGCTGCCATGCCTGAGGACCCACGTGACAGGAAAGAACCAACTCAGGCAAGTTGTCCTCTGACACACACACACACACACACACACACACACACACACACACACCTTGTTTTGTTTTTCAAGACAGGGTTTCATATGTAGCCCCGGTTTCCTGAACATGCTTTGTAGACCAAGCTGGCCTTGAACTCACAGAGAAATGCCTGCCTCTGCCTCCCGAGTACTGTGACTAAAGGCGTGCGCCACCACACCTGGTCTTTTTATTTTGAAAGTATATTTTTAAAGTTAGTAGTCATCTGTATTAGCCAGAAGATGGGGATAGTCCATTATTTTTGTGCTTCTTTCTTATCTCTCACTTCAGACGTCTTACCTATCTTCACTGTGGTCACAGAATGACTTTATATGAGTGTTGTTTGTATTTTCAAAGTCAGGTTTAGTTAACACTATGGTGTAATTATCTACTTTCAGATGCCAGGGATTTGTTATTATTATTATGATGATGATGATGACTTTATCAGCAACAGTGTGTGATGGTTGTCCTTTGCTATGGATTTGATTGGATTTACCTTCGGCTAGACAACACATTTCTGGTTTCAGAGAAGTGTATATCATTGTGCTTGGTATGTGCATGTGAGGCTGGACGTGTTGAATCTTCTTGGAGCCAGAACTGCAGGCAGTTGTGAGTCACCCCGTGTGGCTTCTGTGACCTGACTGGGTCCTCCAAAGGCAGTGAGTGCTCTGGTTGTCAGCTGTCTGTCACAGGGACAAGACACATAGCTGACATACTGTCAGACTCCATCACTGTGACACCTGGACCGGTTTCACAGAGGGAGTATTTCTTTCAGCTCAGTGGTTTTCGTGCACAGGGCCAGCTGCAGTGATTCTGTGCCTTGTAGTGGGGTAGCACCCCACGGGGTAAGGGTGTGGTAGAGCAGAGCTGCCCCCCTGATGGCATCTGGAGCAAGAAAGACACAAGTGGGAGCCAGGGAAGAGACGGGCCCTTCACAGTCATCCCTCTAGCAAGCTTAGAGCCAGACCCCTGCCTCCCGTAAGGGCACTGGATTATTTCACTGGGGAAAGTAGGAGCCTGCAGGCATCAGTCACAACACAAAGGTTGTACTCAGCAGTCAGGGACCAATACGGGAGCCTTGGGGGACCTTTATACCCAGACAATAACAGAGCCTAGCATACTGACCTTCTCAGTCCTCAGAGACCAGACATCTGCCGTTGTAGTGAGAAGCCTCATCCATTAATCCCAGGCTGCTAAGGATACAAGTACCTAGTTGTTCCATGACTTGACATGACTGAACAACGACACTGAAAATGAAAAGGTCCTCAGAGCTGTTCAGTATTTCTAGGTCGACTAAGGTTTGTGTCCCGCAAACTCAGATCCAGGCTGTTTGAAGGTGTGGCTGTATAAGGCTGCAGACTTTTCAGGAGGACACGTCTGGGTTTGGAACAGAGCAGAGATACAAAAGCAGCTGCTAGGCAAGTGAGGTGCTGCTCTCAGTGGGGCTGCCTACCACAGTGTTGCAGCAGGTCTGCAGTACTTATGTGCACACCCAGTTCCTGAGAAAGATTGTGTTGTCTCATTCTTTGGGTGGTCTCAGCTTTGCAGTGACAAAATGTGTGTTTGTCACTTAATCCCAGTTGTTCTGACAGTGAGAAAGCAGGTGGCAGGGAAACAAAGGGTTCTTGACTATCTCAGACTTCAGTAGCAGTGCTCAAAACATGGCTAGATCAAAAACTTCTTGTGGGGGTGGAAATGTTAAAGCCATTGGGAGTGTTGTCAGTAGTCATAGAAAACTTACCAGCAATAACTGAAAAAGCAATTCTTATTCCTCAGAACTTCTGTATGCCTTTACTTAGTTGTCAGTGTGATGATAATTAACTAATATAGAAGTTTCCTAGTCTTAATAATTTTCCTGAGACTTCATTGAGCATGATTGTATAACAAATAGACCTCATACTTTAGAATCATTTAAGAGCATTATTGTCAACTCGGTTCAGTTGCCTGCGTTTACCTTCCTTGTCACTAGTCCCGAGAGTGTAAAACCACCTTGCTCTCTGGCACACCAGCCTGCACACAGTGGTGTTCTCTAGACACTTGCTGTGCTTAATCCCAATCAAAAACTACACCCCCTGGTTTGCCACCTCAGTGCCTTTTATGAGTCATTTTTAACTTTCCTGAATTTAGATTTGGAGATTGTACAAAATGCAGCCGAATGGGTGTTAAGATTCTCTTTTGTTTGTAAAAATTCTGTTTGGGAGCCAGGTGGTGGTGGTGCACACCTTTAATCCCAGCACTTGGGAGGCAGAGACAGGCGGATCTCTGTGAGTCTGAGGCCAGTCTGGTCTACAAGAGCTAGTTCCAGGTCAGGCTCCAAAGTTCAGAGAAACCTTGTCTTGAAAAAAAAATTCTGGCTGGGAATCGGGCTGTGGTGGCTCACACCTTTAATTCCAGTACTCAAGAGGCAGAGGCAGGTGGATCTCTGTGAGTTTTGAGGACAGCCAGGACTGCAAATAGAGACCTTATCTCAAAAAAAAAAAAAAAAAAACAAATAATTCTGAGTCAAAATGTTTAGGGTTTATTTTAATGTGACAAATGAGTCAGAAATACTACAATTGAGATTTAGGACTTTGGATTCAAAGTTTATTACATGAAGGGTTTTCATTTCCCTGTGTAAGCAACAAAATATAGTGACCTGAAAACAATCCATTTCTAAAAAGATAATCTTTGTTCTCAAAAGAAACCAAAATCCATACATTATATATCCAGCTATGATCTTGTTTCCTTACCATTTTGTCCTGTTTTGTTATTTTTGTTGTTTTGTCAATACTCAAATAAAAATTGAAGTACTAAAAAAATTAAAAAAATTAAAAAATAAAATTCGTGGTTTACTGTCTTTGAGTACTGCGATCTGTATCTGGAATATCTTCCCCTTGTCCCCTTCCCATGTCCAGATCCCGTCTATTCTATGAGGACAATTAAAATAGTCTCCCTTTCCTAATGTTACTAGTCAGAACTAAGATCAAGAAAAATGTCTTTAAAGCATAGCAAACGTGGCAGGCCTGTAATTCTGTTTGGGGAACTGAGGCAGGTGGCTCAGGAAGGAGTTCAGGGCCAGCGCAGGCAATAGAGTGCCTGTTTAGCATCCACAGCCAAAGGCTCAATCCCTAGTGCTGCAACACAGTGAGAAACCAGAACGCCCACATGTCGGTGGATATCATATACATATATTTTAATAAATCCTATATTTGGATACATTTGTTACAGTTTAGAGACACTAATCCGGAAGTGGTCTTTTCTTTCTTCGAATTATTGTAGCAAATTTTGTGTCTCTAAATCACTTATTAAAACTCAAAAATATTTATGACGTCCTCTCTACTCAAGATGCCGTTACAATGCTGTGAGATTCACTGGTTTTCAAATGCTCAGCCTTGAGTAGGGAACGAGGTTTTAAATCCCTGTCTTCACTCTCACTTCCATGAGGATAAAACTTACTGCCACTATCTGCTGCATTGGTTGTACTTACATTAGATGTAATAATTATATTAGCTGTGGGTGGCTAGAAGCGCCATGTGAGAAGCTGGAAGGGACTGAGAGTGGACGGAGTGTTACTAGAATATCCTTTTTAACTGTGTGTGTTAATATGTAAGGAAGTATGAAAGTCGTATTCTTGCCACTACCTAGAAAAAAAGAATAAATTGAAAGACTTTGTATTGAATTTGTAAGAGTATATATAATAACAAATGTATTTTTCTCACATTAATTTAGGAATGGCTACCTGCAAAATACCTGGGAACCGAGAATGCAATCATCATTGTAAAAATAAACATACATGTGCACACGATTGCTGTGAGTTCTGCTGAGATTATTTCAGAATCGAAATGTCTGTAGTGAATATGGAGTGGAGAATGGCTCAGTGGTTACCACCTGCTCTCGCAAAGGACGAGTTTAGTTCCCATCACCCACCGCTGTCTGCAACTTCAGTCCCAGAGCTCTGATACCCTCTTCTGACATCCAAGGGCCTTCACTCTTGTGCACACACACACATTTATAATGACGGATAAAATAAATAAAAAATAAACGTCTTGAGTTAATAATAGTGATATGCTAATTTTTTATGTATAATATTTATACCATTCCTACTCCAAACTCTCCAAAGAATTTTCCTTTGTGGTAGGGAGAACAACAGGAAAAAAGTAGACATTAAATTTCATGTTTCAAAGACATTTAGTTTTTTTTCATACTACCAAAAATGTAATACAAAAATTCTAAAATTGTACTGACCATATTGGTCAAATCTATTGTCCAGTACTTGGGAGGTGGAGGCAGGAGGGCTGTAAGTAGAAGACCAGAATGGGCTGCATAACAAGATCCTGTCTTACTTAAAAAACAAAAACAAAAGAAGATAATCTACAATCTCTTTTAATAGGTAAAATCGGAGTTCCACAAAAGGCAGAAGTTAAAGAGTCAGCAATGTCTTCGTATTTGTCTGACTTAAAAAGCAGAGATGCTGTCTCTTCTCTTCCTCCAGTGAAACGACTCAAGGTTAGCTTTAATGGCATCTGTCCTTTGCTCTGCATCAGGAAGGGGGGGTGGATAATTATATCATCATTATAATCGATCTATAAATCTACTTTTGGAAGATAACTGTCCAGCTCTTTCCTTACCTTAGTTTAGAAAGAGAAATCTGAGCTTGACTTAGTTTAGTCACGGTTGGAACTAGACAGTCTTGCCCTGTCTTGGCTTTGAACTGGAACGGACTGGAAATTCTGACGTTTACTTGGACTCTTGGCCTTAAGAACAATGAAGAGCCTTCCTCCCAGGTGATGAGAGAATGAGCGTCAACCTGCTCGGTAGGACAGTCATAAGCAGACTTCCTTTAAGCCCAAGTCATCACGTCCTAGAGGAGTCCTTGTGTGGGCTTCATACAATGACAGATTTCAGTGAGGCTAAATTAAGGGCAGACTGGGAAATAATCATGAGATGTAAAGTGATCACCACTTCTTCTGAGAAAACAGTTTTGTGGCCTGGGTGCTGGTGGTGCGCATCTCTAATCCCGGCACTTGGGAGGCAGAGGCAGGTGGATCTCTTGAGTTTGAGGCCAGCCTGGTTACACAGTGAGTTTCAGGTCAGCCAGGGCTACACAGAAAGACCCTGTCTCAAAAAATTAAAAAGCAAAATAATTTAAGTTTTCTCTCCCTCCCTTCTTTCCTTTTCCCCACCTTCATGCCTACGTTTCTTCCATACTCTTGTTTCTTCACATCTTTTAAAAAACCAAGTTTATAGTGGTAAGTAGGGAAGATGTAGTCTCTGTCCTCACTGAGTTTCTAGTTGAATAAAGAATACAAATAAGCCTTTGCCCTAGTGTAATGAGTGTTTCTGTAAAGGAAGCGTAAGACATGTGATTTTAGGTAAAAAGTGTGCTCAGCCCATGTCTGATGAGCTGGGAAAGGCTCCTCATAGATGTGACTGAGGCTGAGGATAATCCAAGGATACAGAACGGGCACCAAGATAGTGATGGAGACCTATAGACTAAATTTTAAAGTTCTGGAGTATTTGGTGGCGACAAAGAGATCTTCCAAGTAGCTGAAATAATATAGGATGTCTGGAAATTAATTTTAGATAGTGAGCATTAAGGCTGAAGAAGTAAATAGGAATTAGATCATGCAAAGCATTTTGTTATTTTAGAGATTTATTTTTTATCCTCAAATTATTTAGAAACATTAAAGTGCTTTAATCAGTGGCCTGATCTGAGTTGGGTTTTTTTAAAGGACATTCTGTTTGTAATGAAGAGAAAGAATTAGAAGATTAAAAAATAGGAACATGGAAAGCCAATAGGTTGTTTTGTGATAATTGAAGTAAACTGATGGTAATGTAAGTTAGTGGTGGCAGGTAATGGTGAGACGTGACTGGACTTGAAACATTTTTCAGAGGTACATTAGTTTGAGGGGTGAGGTGGAAGAAGTCAAAACCAATGATCAGCTTTCTGGCTGATTAACTGGGAGGAGAGGTGGGCCCCTCTAGGACAGCGAGAGTAAAGGGGAAATCAAGTTTGGGGGAACAAAGGCAGAACAGATTCAGTTTAAGAGACACTAGATATCAGGCTGGGATAATAACATGCTCAGTGGTTTAGTCTAGCTAGAGAATTGTATTCGCTACTTCTCTCTTGATATGGTAAAACAACATGGCCAAAGCAACTTACAAAAGAGTTTATTTGGGTTTATGGAGCAGTAAGCATGGTGGCTGAGCAGAAGCTAGAGGCTCACATCTTGAGCCGCAAGCATGAAGCAGAGAGAAAAGAGTAATTTGCAATGGTAGGATTCTTTTAATATTTAAATTCTTTAAAAGCTACCTCTAGTGGCCTATTCCTCCAGCAAGGCCATTCTTGGTAAACCTTCCCAGTCAGTGGCGCCAGCTGGGGCCAAGTATTGAAATGCTTGCACCTGTGGGGGGCTTCTCATTGGAATCCCACCTTCAGTTCCCAGTGCCACTGCCACAAGAAATGAGATACCCATGCAGAGGTGTCCTAGAGGAAGTTGGCTAACTGGAAATCAGAAGGGAGGCTGAAGTAGAAATGCAAACTTGAGAGTTGTCCATAGTGAGATAATAACTTAAGTCTTGGGAGTCAAAGATCTTTTTCTGAAAATATCACATAAAGAGCCAGAAGAGAAGGCAAACTTAAACAAACAAACAAAAAAAAAAAAGCAAAACGAAAACTGTCTATGTTTAAGAAGGGCCTGAGAAGAACATTTGAGTTGAGAACTAGCCCAACACTCTCCAGTCCCTTGAGTTCTGGGCTTTATTCACCAGTGGTGTCTTTACTCTTTGGTTCACTTGTGAAAGTGATAGTTGAATTTGGAATGGCATTTTTTTTTTTATCAACAGATACAGATGAACAAATCTCAAAATGTGGACCTTAAGGAGTTTGGTTTTACTCCAAGACCATCCCTTTCCAGTATATCAAGGTACAAAACCAATGTTAATATCTAAGATAAAGTGTTCATTTAACTGTTGCTCCTCCAGATAACCACTTACTCAAGGGAAGTTAGTCACTGACTACTCAATGAAAATCACAGTAACCATTTAATTTCATTATAAAGCAATACTACTAAAAGGGTTTCGGTATCTCATATGTTGCCATTCCCTGAGTGCCCTCTTCCCTAGGAAACTACCCATCCCTAGGTCCTCCCCTGTTCTCTGAGACAGGAGATACTGTGTTTTAGAAGGAAAGCCTAACCTTTCCCTGCAGGTGCTCATTCCATACCAATAACACCTTAGGCTTGAAAAATACTTTCTAATTTGAGATTTTGCTTGTGCAATATATCTTCTGACCTTCATGACAACCTAGCTCATAAAATAATTTTCTTATGCTATTTTTAATATCTATTTACTGATTGATGTTTTGAGACATATTGGTTTGTAGCCCAGGCTTGGTTTGAATTCATTATATAGTCTAGACTGGTTTTGAATTAATAATCCTATTGTCTTAACCTCTTAGGTGCTGAGATTATAATTGTATACCTCAATACATAATGTTTATCTCATTTTCTTAATAAAAAAGCAGACCTCACTCCCAATTAATAAGAAGAGGACCTCAGATGATAATTCATTGTTCTTTTCTTATATCATGATTCAGAGAAGAGAATATTTTATATATAATTTCCTATTCATCTTATCCTATTCAGAATATTCTTTTCTGCATTATAAACTAATTTTTTATTCTTTGCAGTTTAATACTTGCACAAAGTGAATTTTAGTTCCTTCACTCTATTCCCCATCTTACCCACTTTCCTTCCCCACTGAAACACTTCTTTCCTGCACACCCTCCTGCTTTCATGTCTTGGCTGTGTGTGTGATCCACTGAGATTAATTAGAATTCTTTGCATAAGCATTTGTGGGAGATTGTTTGCTGGAGCATAGGCAACTTACCAGTGTCTACCTCACTGAAGAAAGTGATTCCCCTCCCTCCAGCCATCAGGACTTGTCCTGTCTCTCAGATAGGAGGAGGATAGCAGAGTCCTATCTGCCAAGATAACATTCTGTTTATTTAGCAACCAATATGGAGCAAGAGCCAACCAATCAGAAATCTAGATCCAGCACTATTTCTAGAGATCTTGACTTCGGTTATCTAACTGAGAGTAGCCTTATTAATAGATTTTTAAAGACTGCATACTGATGGCAGGTGTCTACTGGGGCACGTAAAGATGATGGAGTATTGGACTCTTCCATCACAGGCTACTGGAGGCCAGGCAGTGGTGATACACACTTTAATTCTAGGACTCAGGAGACAGAGGCAGAGGGATCTCTGTTAGTTCAAGGCCACCCTGGACTATAAGAGATTGAATCTGTCTGAAAGAGAAACAGAGCTCACATAAAGGTGATCCCAGCACTTGGATCCCATGGCTTTAATCCCAGTACTAGGGAGGTGGAGACAGAAGTGATATGGGTAGACAGAGATGCTGAAAGAGGTTTTCTGTCCCGCCTGGTTCTGTAGTTGTTCAGTCCCCCCCAAAAACATACAGAGGCCTACATTAATTATAAACTGGTTGGCCTAGTAGCTCAGACTTCTTATTAACTTTTATATCCTACATTAACCCATAATTTTTGTCTGTGTTAGCCACATGGCTTGGTACCTTTTATCAGTGAGGCAGTCACATCTTGCTTCTTCTGTGTCTGGGTAACAACTGCAGACTCAGCCTTTCCTCTTCCCAGAATTCTTCTGTTCTCGTCGCCCTGCCTATACTTCCTGCCTGGCTACTGGCCAGTCAGCGTTTATTAAGGCAGTACAAATGATAAATCTTTACAGTGTACAAGAGCATGGAGAGAGGAATATAAGACAGGAGGAGATAGGAGCTCAGGGCAGTTTGAGGTTTCGTGGAGACAGTAATGAAATTCCCAGAATTGTCAAGTTAGTAGACCATGCTCTTTTTATTTATAGGAGTATCTAGTTTCCAAGGTCAACTTCATCATACTTCTTTTCTGTGGTTTTGTTTTCATCGTAAAGGTCTGGATCTTTAAACATCCCAGAGTTGCCAATGTCGAAACCGTGGAGTGAGCATGAAATCTATGGAGAAGTTCCACAGGAACCATCTGAATATCATGGCAAAGGTAGATTATTGTTGCTATTGACTTGTGCAGGAATTTGGCATTACTAAGGTTAACAAGTCATTTAAACAAAAACCCAGCATCTAAAAAAATTATGAATATCAACTGACCACAGTTTTTTCTTGTATTTTTGAGCCAATTTTAAACTCTTAGGTTATTTCAAATTGTCATGTTGTGTATCAAAGATTTTTCAGTATCTTCCCTACAAAGTGTTGACTGTTTATCTAAAACTAATGTGAGGGACAACTGGGAAAATCAGAAAGCCTTGTGTGAACAAAGTCTTAAACCGATGAATTACTACTTTTACATATTTTTAGAAATTTAAATAATGGCTGTAAAATTAGTCCAGTTTCATAAAATAGTTGTGTGACCTCGGGGAAGTATTGGGAGCCAGTGAGGGGGTTTAGTGGATCAAAGTATTTGTTTCTGATGACCTGTTCTCCAGAGGTCACTCGGTAGAAGGAGATTTCCCTCCTGCATGCTGTCCTTTGACCTCCACGTACACACAAGGGCATGTGTGCAATCACACACACACACACACACACACACACACACACACACAAATGTAAAAAAATATTAAAATGAAGGTATCATGCCAGGTGGCACAGCCTTTATTCCCAGCACCCAGGAGGCAGAGGCAGGTGGATCTCTAAGTTCAAGGACAGCCTGGTCTTCAGAGTGAGTTCTAGTACAGCCAGGCCTACACAGAGAAACCCTGTCTCAAAAACAGAAACTATGAATGAATGAATGAATGAATGAATGAACTGAGAGTATCAATATGGCTGACTGTTAGTATTTCCTCCATTCCTAAATCTATGATTCTTACAATCTCTAGGCACAATGAGACGATTGCTAGTTTGAGAGGCACAAAAGTTTTGTGATCTAGATTTGCTTTTATCTGTGTCTTATCATTAAAAATGCAATAATACATAGGAATTCTTCAGCACATTTATGTTGGATCCCCATGTTATTAGTGCTATTTCCCTGGTTCATTCTATTAATGGTGTGATATACTGAAAGATGAGAAATAGCCCTAACCTGTGAGTGGTTTGTTCAAGAGGCTGTATGTCAATATAAATGAAGGTGAGCTTTGGATTTCCTGGGCACACTTTCATTCTGTTACTTTGTTTCCTTTGGTCACAGTTTAAGGCCCTGGGCAGCCTCATGTGCAGCTCAGTGGAGCAGGGCTTGCGCAGGTTCCTGACATCCTGGGTTCCATCACAACGCGTCACAATGATAAGTAACTGGATATGTAATCTGAGAGGCGCAGAGTTAGGTCTGCTAACTCTGATGACATCATGACCTTCATTAGCCCTCTGACTTGTGCCTTTCCTACACTGCTGCAGTTCTCTCTGCTCCTCCTGTGCACAGCTTATTCTTCCCCCCGACTGCGTCTTCTATGCCTATTGTTTCCCACTTTCTTCTACTCATTACTCTAACTTAAGTATGATAGAAAAGCCTTGTCCGGATAGTTTAACCCCAGCAATAGCCGTGTTCTTGTTTTACTGAACGAGCCACTTTGTCTTTCTCTCTCTCATCCTCCCTCTCCCCTCATTTTAAGGAAGGAGCCATATGCAGGATAGTGAGGCTGACAGGACCCAGACAGTCGTTCTGGGTCTGCATTCTAATTCTGCCGTTCACTGCAACCCCTCCTGGTGCACCCAGGACCCTTATCTCAAGTCTCTCACCCAATTGTCTCAGATGTTTTAGGATTAAATGAGACGATGCTTATAAAGATCCTGAAGTAGCATCTGCTGTTGCTAATGACAGCAATTACGTGTGTTTGTTATACTTCCCATACGTCAGTCTTTATTGTGAAAACATTCTAAGTATTGGGAATGTTTTAAGAAAAACATGGCAATTTTATTATCTGTATTCCAGTTTCACAAAGAGAAAAAGGAAAAAGTATTAGAAATTATATGAGAAAGCATTTTGAATCATAAGATTTAATTTGGAAGGGACCTTTGTGCAGTTTCTCATTTTACAGTAAAGGAAGCCAAGATTCTAAGAGATTAAATGACTCGCCCAAAATCACACACCTAATTAATGGCAGGGCCAGAAATAGATTCCACATCTCCTGATTCCCAGTCCAGTGCCATCTCTAGAAAATGAAATTGACTTTTAGTTATCAGTAGAAAATTGAGTGTTGAACTTATAGTATATGAACTCTTTCGACTTCCCACCATCTCATCCCACCTCACCCAGCTGATGTATTTCTCTGATTTTGCATCTCTCATTAACCCTCTGTTGTCTTAAAAGAATTATTTTTTTCTTCTGTTCAAGGCTTAATGTGAATTCTGTCTAATCTTGCTTTCTCTGGGAATTTAGAAGGTCACTTATTCTCTCCTCTATCCAATATTTGCATTGTCTATGTTTTGGTTTTGGTTTATTTTTTGAGACAGGTCTCTCTGTGCACCCTGTCTGGCTTAGAACTCACTATGCTGTCCTTACCACCTTTTAATTTGTTATTCTTTTGCCTCTGCCTCCCAGGTACTGAATTACAGGTGTGTGTCCCCCACACCCAGTTCACCATCTGCTTTCTATTGTCCTTTTCCCTTTAGCGTATAAACATGCTTAAGGCTTTTCCTTCTTCAGCTGTAGCAAGTTTCCCTCTAGCTAATCATGCATGACCTTTGTGATAACAAGTGATCTGAAATTCACACAAAGGGACTTACACACAAAGAGATAACTGGTTACTCCATATAAACTGGAGGTCCCAGTAGGCCTCTGGCTTTAACCTTCTAGCTCCAGGCGCTCAGACTGTCCTACCACACCTCCGGCTTTCTCACACAGTAAGTCCTTCCAGATTTCCATCTTCCCAGTTTAACAGTCTCATAGAGAAAGATACTTTGCACTTGTAGGTGTACAGACATGAAACACTCTGACCAGTCTGTTTTGAGTAATATAAATCTCTATAGCTGGAGGAGTGGTTATTCTGTCCCTGTGGTCCCAGGAAAATCTGGGAATTGTGATCGGTGACCTCATCAGGATCGCCTAGAGTGACAGAGGCTGTTTTCCCTATGGGAAAGGAGGGTGCTTCTACTCATGGGAAGGTTAGCATGCCAAAAGGATGATGATGGCGATGAGGAAGAGGAGGAGGAGGAGGAGGAGGAGGAGGAGGAGGAGGAGGAGGAGGAGGAGTCAGCATCCCGTGCTCTCCCTGTGTGTCTTGCTTTCTTGTCAAATTAAAAAGTACGAGAAAAATTCGCACTCATTTCTTCCATCTTGGTCCTTTCTTACTCACTAAACTTTGGGTTCTTCATCCTTACTTTGAAACTGCTCTTCCTTCGGACCATTTAGTGACTCAGGCGCTCAGGTCCATGAGTTCTCTGGAAGATTTCACACTTCTGTTCCTTCCTTTGGAAAGCGTCTCCCTGGGTTCCAGTGAAGCCATCCTATTGATTTCTTTTCAGACTCTTGTTGGACTTTTCTTGCCAGTTGATGTTCCACATGGATCCATCTATCCTCCTGTCTCTGTCTCCCTCCTCTGCTTCCTGCTTCACCCCATCTCCTCCTTCCTCTCTCTATATTCTTTTTACTGTCAAATGTCTACACAGATCATCTGAAGCCATGTCTGAAATCACCAGCTAACCCTTGGTGATTGCTAAGCTTGTCTTTTTCTCAGTACAAATTCATGCCTACAACCACACTCCCGGCGATAGCTGCCTGAAAGTTAGTGGTTCCTGCCCTGTCCTCTGGTCCTTGTGTGCCGCATTCCATCCCTTCTCCCCTCAGGTCAGTGCATGCTCTGAGAAAGGCAGAGAAAGGATGACTATGACTCTCTTACTCGACGTGTGCCTCATCACCGCGACCTGCACATCTGTGTCACGCACGCACTTCCCCTCTGTCCCTTCTGTTCCTGTGTTTACTGGTCCTAGATGTAAATGCTCAGGGCCTCTCCTTATTTCACTAACTTTCTTACGTTTCCCTGCTGCACCTTCCATAAGTACTCCAGTGTCTGATCACATGACCTGCTCGGAGAAGCCTCTTCAGCAGTTGTCTTGTGCTGGTAAGAAAAGCCTCTTCACGTGTCTGGTGACTTTGCCATCATCTGACACGGGCTGCCTGTGCAGTTCCCGTGGGTCTTCCTTTCTCCTGCTTCGTGCTCCAGAATTTCTGAAGACTCCTAGGTCCGGCCTCTCTCGCCTCTCCCGCTGTTCCTTGTCCTCTCTGCACTGCTCAGGGAATGTTGTGTCTGCGCCACAGCCGCAGTCCCACAGCCGAGAGAGTGCTGCTGCTTGTTCGCATGGTTAGATCTTCAATGGCTCTTACTCTAATTGTTCTCTTCACTGTACTCCATGGCATTAATACCATTTCTGTTCTTAGTGTGCATCAATCAAAGTGTACTAACATGAACTGCAGTTGTGGGCACACCTGACAGAAGAAATGGGCGTGAACAGATGAAGATGAGGACGGGATAGTTGAGAAAATAAGGCTTATACCGCCTTAGAAGTTCTTGTTACATTCTCAGAAATCTTTCAAACACTGTTAAAGTACTAAGAAAATGCTAAACATTTTATGATAATTTAAAATGAATTCCTACCAAATAAATCATGTTATAAACAAAGATGATAGTACTGAAAATCTAAAACTTTCTAATCTACTGTATGTTACTGTTACTGGTGTTCTCAACATTTTTCTGTACAGGAAAATAGCATGTGCTGCCACAAAGCTATTTACTGTAGGAATTAAAATCCATTAAAATCATGGGACTGGCAAGATTGCCCAGTGGGTGGGAGCTTGTGGTGGCAAGTCTAGAGACCCAAGTTCAATCCCCAGGATCCATGTAAAGGTGGAAGGAGAGAACTGACCCCACACAGATATGCTCTGCTCTCCTCCAGTGTTCCTGGCATGTGCAGCCTCAGGAGTACACCACACACGCATGCACAATAGTAATGACACACACCACACACGCATGCACAATAGTAATGATGCATACCACACACACATGCATGCACAATAGTGATGATGCACACCACACACACATGCACAATAGTGATGATGCATACCACACACACATGCATGCACAATAGTGATGATGCACACCACACATGCATGCACAATAGTGATGATGCACACCACACACACATGCACAATAGTGATGACGCACACCACACACGCATGCACAATAGTGATGACGCACGCCACACACGCATGCACAATAGTGATGACGCACGCCACACACGCATGCACAAAAGTAATGATGCAAGCCACACATGCATGCACAATAGTGATGACGCACACCACACATGCATGCACAATAGTGATGACGCACACCACACACGCATGCACAATAGTGATGACGCACGCCACACACGCATGCACAATAGTAATGATGCAAGCCACACATGCATGCACAATAGTGATGACGCACACCACACACGCATGCACAATAGTGATGACGCATGCCACACACGCATGCACAATAGTGATGACGCACACCACACATGCATGCACAATAGTGATGACGCATGCCACACACGCATGCACAATAGTGATGACGCACACCACACATGCATGCACAATAGTGATGACGCATGCCACACACGCATGCATAATAGTGATGACGCACACCACACATGCATGCACAATAGTGATGATGCATGCCACACACGCATGCACAATAGTGATGATGCACACCACACACACATGCACAATAGTGATGATGCACACCACACACGCATGCACAATAGTGATGACGCACGCCACACACGCATGCACAATAGTGATGATGCACGCCACACATGCATGCACAATAATGATGATGCAAAAACTAATTGATTAAAAATGGAGTTTAGTGGGCCTATCAGTTCATGTTCCAGTAACTAGAACTGTCTGAACGAAATATCCGTCAGTGCTTGACAGCATGTGCCTTTGAAAATTGGGGCTCAAAACCTCTGCATAGCAGTTGAAAGATGTATTGCATATCAGTTCAAAATGCTGCTTGTGTGGTTTAACAAATGCCTACACTCTTGTACACACATAACAGATTTTCTCAGGTGGAACTCTTGTATAACTTCAAATGAAAGGACTCCTCAAACAGTGATGTTCAGCAGACACGCTAACACATCTGGAAACCACAGTGTTGCGGGCGAAAGCAGGTGTTCTGAAGGTTTGGATGTGAACTTTGAGTTGGGAAATGAAGTTTGGGATGACTTTGATGACGAAAGCTTAGTAGAAGTTATGAGTGTTTCAGCTGGTGCCGAGAAGACAGCTGTATCAGGTAAAACTGCTTTTTTCATAAAGTCATTCATTAGAAATTCTTTGGCTATTTTTATTTTGGTCCCTGAGACTCCTTTTTCTTGCCTTTTTGTATGTGTTTATTTAAGTAAGGTTATAATTTTTATCAGAACTAAAAAGAGAAGTGTGTCTTCCACAAAGAGTGTTTTCCCTTGAGGGTAGAGGCCAAGGTTGTTCCCTTGTGAGGATATGAGAAACAGAGTGGGCTTTTCTGCCCTATTTTCCCTCTCTTTTTTAAAATTTGTTTTATTATTTTACCTTATATGTATAAATAAGTATTTTGCCTATATGCTGTGTACATACATGCAGTGCCCATAGACACCAGAAGAGGGCATTTGATCCCCTGGACCTGGGTTACTGTTGGAATGAGCAGCCCAGTGGGTGCCGAGACTAAAACCCAGGTCCTCTGGAGGAGCAGCCAGTGCCCTTAACCATTGAGCTATCTCTCCTGCCCTCTTGTCTCTTCTTAAAGGTTCTATTTAAATCCATTCTGTTTATTAAGCTTTCCCTCATAAAATGGGATACTTTGGCCTTCCTTCTGAGTTCATACAGGTCCACTACTCTGTGGAATAAAAAGGTACTATGATTTTAAGAATATTTTTCTGCTTGCAAGAAAAGAAAATAGCCTTGGCTTCTGGTGGAAATGCTTACTTTTCAGGAATAAATAATTGAAAAGTAAGGAAAAAGGGCTTTATCAGAAGGTGCATTTAAATCATACATAAACCCACAGTCATGAGACTTCACTATTGGATACAGACAAATTTGCTAAAACAGATAATTGAAACTCTTAGTAGTTATGTGACTAGAGGCAAAAATGGTGACCCTCTTCCCATGGGGGCAGAGAGAAGAAGCCAGTTCCTCAGCCTGTGGAACATCCTTCCTCCCACAGTTGCTTCTTGATATGCTCCACCTGCAACTGTCTAGACAATCAGAGAAGAGCAACAGCCTCAGGAGCTAGCGAGAATTCAGATGTGATTGTCTTGGAATCCTGCAGAGCGCAAGCTTTTCTCAGGACATCAGAATTTGTTCAGCTACACAGAATAGGCCTGGAAATGTGTGATGTGGGCCACTGGGTGTATTTCTTACATCCCGAACTCAAGACTGGATGTGTCCTGCAGGCTAGAAGTCGGTATATGCTGACCTGTGAAGGCGTAGAGCTGTTGCTGGGAGACCACTTTCAGTGAATACCTCTTCCCCATGTGTAGAGTACTTAATTACATGCAGACCATTAAAATACTGAATAAGTTTCCATTTGTTATATACTTGAATTTTAAAAAAAATAACTAAATAGTGGTGGCTTTAGGATTTGAGACATAGTGGCTAATAAACTAACTTATGTGCTTCATAGTTTCATTTTCTTAGCTTTGCCTGCACTTACTTCCTCTGTGTAAATCAGTGTTGATTACTAAGAATTAGTCATTGTGCTGGCTAGTGTTTTGTCAGCTTTACACAGATTAGAGTCATCAGGAAGAGGGAGCCTCAACTGACATGTGGGAGGGTACCATGGGCAGTACCGTCCCTGAGGAGATGAAAGCAAACTGAATAAGCCATTGGCAGCAGCCCCGTGAGCAGCACTCCCCCCGCCCCCAGCCCCGTGGTCTCCAGTCTCCTGCTCTGATGTCCTCCATGATGATAAACTATAAACGTCCTTCTTACCATCCTGGGTAGAGAGAGCCCTTGCAGAACGTGTACCACACATCTGTTAGCTGTCAACTTGCATTGTGTTTCTAAAGCTTCTCTCTTCTCGTAGGATTTGGAGACACTTGTGATTCGAGTCCCTGGGGAAGTAAGCTACCCTTCCAAAAGTCAAGCAGCAAATTCCAAAGAGAAATCTCAAACAGGCAAGCTTCAGAACTTTGGTCTATAAGTCTTAGAACTTTATACTTTCTTGAAACAGAACTGGAGATGGGGTTTATCTCATTAGATGTCAGAGAAGCATTAACGTGTTAACCATCCTAAGCATTGTTAACATTTGAGGTCCCTCTCTCACAGTGCTGTTGTCAGCCCCTCTCATCAAAACCACCTGGGAATGCTTATCAAAGGTGTGAGTTCTTCCCACATCAGACCTCCTGAACCATGGTCTCTGGGGTGGAGTCCAGAAATTTCATAGTTTCTAAAACAAGTAGGAAAGAGACAAATAGACAGACTAGGTTTAAAATTTTAAACAAAAGGACATAGGTCTTAAAAAGACAGGCCATGCACGAGGGTCATTGAGGTGTGTTTGTGTGGCCATAGAAGTAAGGCTGACACTGTTGAGTGGGAGGGCCTTGGGTGCTGTAATAAGGAGTAGATCTAGCAGGACAAGATTCACAGACTCGGGGGCCTGCAGGATTTGGGGAACCAGGGTGAGCCGTGGACTATCCCCATAAGGGGAAGACACTGTTAAGCTCTGGCTGTTTTTGCTGTCTATGAAATATAGGTTTAGTCTTGGCAGACATTGTGATTTTTCAAGGGAAGTCAGGAATGTGACATTTATGTGACATTTTGCAATTTTTAAATTTTGGCATCTATTGCCAAGAAATGAATGCCCTTCGCATCACTTCCATCACAGCACCACAGGTGTTTCTGTGGACCAGACTCAGCTGGGGAGTTCCAGTGGCTCCCCCACGACTGCTGGTGCAGTCATTCAGTTTACTCATAAAAGAATTAGTTATTCTAGCAGCAATTAAAGAGTGAGTCACAGAGGGTAGGACCATCAGAGGTGTTGTGGCCAATAAGACAGACAGCCCTGGGGGGCTGATGGCGGAAAGGGCTGGCAGGTGGACTTCTCACGCATCTCAGAGACGCTCCTGTGGGATGGTTGGCTGGAGAGCACTGGCCACCAGGCTGGACGACAGTGTCCATCTTCAGAATCCACATATTGGAAGGAGAGAGACAGCTCCACACCTTATCCTTTGACCTCCATACTTGTGCCCACACATGTGCAATGAGCACCTGCACCCCTCCCCCCCACACACACACAAAGTAAAACAAAAAGTTTGTTGAGACAGGATCTCTCACTGGTCTGGATTTCCAAGTAGACTAGGCCGGCTGGCTTCCATAATCCTCCTGTCTCCATTTCCCAAATCCTGGGATTGCAGCATGCACCATGTCACACAGCTGTTTGTACCTGAGTTCTAGAGCTCAAACTCAGGTCCGCGTGCTTACAAGCCAAACACTTTCCCAAGAGAACGGTTTTCCCAGCTGTGATGTTTACGTTCATGTGTGGTCTGTTTCTGTGTTAGATGACCTCACCCGTGACTGTTTACTGCTTTGTGTCCAGCTCCTAGCTAATATATGGTGTGAGTAATAAATGTATTCTAATGTGTGAATATAATAAAATGTTGTGAGTTCTAGTATGTGGTTATATGAAGGAAGATGGTAACTGTGCGAATCCAGACACAGAAGGGGGATAAAGGTCAAACAGTGGGAGTTTAGAAAGGACTTACAGGTTTCTAGGTTAAAGAAAATGAGCAAACCCTGAATCGTAATATTGTTAGATGATTACTTCTTAAACTAGGACTCCGATCTAGTCTGGAATATGTAAACTGGGTTTGTTCTCAAGGAGAGAAATTAGCCAGGTGTGGTCTTGGCACACCTCTGTGAGTGGAGGCCAGACTGGTCTACACAGTGAGTTCCAGTACAGCCAGAGTTATGTAATGAGACCCTGTCTCAAAAGGAGGAGGAGGAAGAAAAAGAAGAAAGAAGAAAATATACTAGTTCTCAATGAGTATAGGAAACAATATCAACTCTTTTGTAGTAAATATAAGCTTTGTATTTTCCAAAGTAACTGTTAATATAGAACAGTTTGTTTTTCTTGTCATATTTCATAAATAATTTATTTTAACTTTCAGTTATGCTTCATCACATGAAAAGCCAGATATTTATCTATCAGATTGTGCCGTGTCCAAGTCTGGTCCATCTCCCGTCACAGAATCACCTCTACAAACTGGAGGTGCAAACCTTGTAAGTCATGTACTTTTGGTTTTTATTCTAACTTTTGTTTGAATGCTTAACTGTCAGTGATTGCTGTTTGATTGTTTGTTTTTTACATTAAAACATAGGTCAATTTTCAAGAGAGAAGGCAGCCAACTCTCTCACCAGTGATTGAGAGGGTAAGTTTTACCCGCTCTAACAAAACGCCACAGTCTCTCAACCTTCAGGGAGTGGATATTTTCATTGGAAACGGTGACTCTAGAAAGGAAATTGATCTCAGGTATGAACTCTTCAAACACAGTCCAAGGCCTTACCAGCAAATACTTTTACAAACAAATTTAGCATTGTTTGATTCATTTTAAAGATGTGTGTGTGTGTGTGTGTGTGTGTGTGTGTGTGTGTGTGTGTGTGCGTGCGTCTACTAGTGAGTGTAGGAGTCAGGTCCTTCTGGAACTGGGGTTATAGGCAGTTGTGGGCTGTCTCATGTGGATGATGGCGTTGAATTCGGGTCTTTTGGAAGAGTAATGCATGCTCTTAACGACTGAGCCACTGCTCCAGACCCAAGATCAGAGACAAACCCCTTTGCTTACTTTTAAAAGCATGGAAATTGTGAATCTCCTGAGAATAGAGATCCTTAGTACCATCAAGAGTAGATACTAACTTTCAAACCCTATGCTATTTAACTGTAAAACACTGAGTTGATAAAGCTGTTTTTACTCATTTTATTGACAGTATAAACTGTAGTGTCATTGGAGAAATACAAATGACATCAGTCAACTTATAGATGTTCCAGTTAGCCGTTCCACAGCTCAGCAGGCTCGGTGTCTCTCTCTCTCTCTTTCTTTCTTTCTTTCTTTCCTTCCTTCCTTCCTTCCTTCTTTCTTTCTTTTTCTTTCTTTCTTCCCTTCTTCTTCTTCTTCTTCTTCTTCTTCTTCTTCTTCTTCTTCTTCCTCCTCCTCCTCCTTCTTCTTCTGTTTTTTTGGTTTTTTGAGACAGGGTTTTTCTGTTGCTTTGGAACCTGTCCTGGAACCAGCTCTTGTAAACCAGGCTGGCCTCAAACTCAGAGATCTGCCTGCCTCTGCCTCCTGAGCACTGGGATTAAAGGTGAGCACCACCACCGCCTGGCTACTGCTGACCTTTTTTTTAAGGGAATCTCTGCAGCAGTTTCTCTCTCTCTGGAGAGTCCGAGCTTAGAAACCTGCTCACGCTTGCTTTTATTGACTAGCTTTACTTCCTAATGTAGTTAAAGAAATAATTAAGAGGTTTGTTCCTTACCCTTCGCAGTGTACAGTCTCTTGTAAACTTTTACCCACAGCCAAGGTCATCATACTAAGTATGTTTGTTGTGTTAGCTTGACAGCAGTCTTCACGCTTACCCACACTGTAATGTTACGCTACTTACTCTGTGTTCTAAAATAAGCTGGCTTACATACACACACACAAATCATTTTTACATTTGCTTTTCCCTCCAGTAAGTATTATCCTGACGATGCAGCTGAAGAAATGAAGGCTCTTCTGGGAATATTTAGGGATATTTTCTGAAAAAAAAAAGAAAGAAAAGAAAAAAAGAAGTAATAATTTTGTTAATAAGCAAAGTAAAACATGTCTAATCCCCAAAGAATGCTTTTTTATTTTTAAAAATAATTGACAACCATTCAAAATTTTTCTCTTAAATTTGATCCATTTCTTGACTTTCTTATAACACAATATGTGAACTGATGTATTTTTATTTCTGTTATAAATTCTTGAAGAATAGTTTTGCTTCAGAAAACTGGTAATTATTATTATAAGTAATTTTTATTAAATCAATATTAATAGAAACTAAGGTTTCATGTTGTATTTCTTAAGAAAGGTGTCTGAGAGCGACATAAAGCTGTGAGTCTGCTCGGTGTGCAGTGTATCACGAACGCGTTCTCACCTGTCCTGTCCTCTCTCTGGGCTTTCAAGAGTCCAGCTTTTGAGCAGTAGTAAATGAAATGAATAAATAATTGGTATGGATTATTGTTTAATTTGCCTTGTTTTTAAGGTATTTTATTTATTTATGTGCATATGTGTGATCCTAGATGAAATTATGTGCACCATTGAGTGCAGGAGCTCACAGAAGCCAGAGGCTGCACTGGATCCCCTGGAACTGAAGTCACAGATGGCTGTGGGCCGTTATGTGGGTGCTGGGAACTGGCCCTGGTTCTCCGCAAGAGCACGAGGTACTCAGCCACCACACCATCTCTGCAGCCATGGCTTTACCATGGCAAAAGATGAAACAACTTAAGAAATTTTATAACTGTGATGTGTCTCTAAGCATAAAAATATAGAAGCCAGAGAAGAAAAGAAGAGGAATTTGTTAGTGAAATGATTATTGCCATTGCTAACAAACATTAGGGAAGTGTACTAATCTCCATCAGAAGCTTGGACAAAGCTGAGGCGTCTGTCTCTGCTGAGGAAGCCTGGGGTCTCTGTGTCTGAACCCAGGACACACAGCCTGTGGAGGTCCTTCACATCCATAAAATGAAAAGCAGTGCAGATTCAGTGCGATCTGTTAATGAAAAGCACTGTGTTTGGTCCTTCAAAGGACGAGGCACCATCTCTGCTCTTACAGTGTTTACACGCTAGCAGAGACAGTGACGCCGTTTCCTGGAGAGTGTAAAAGCTACGCTTATACTATGCTGCAGTCTATTCAGTACACAATATCATTCATAGGTTTAAAGCCATGTGGGCATCATAATTTAAAAAATACTCTGTTGCTAAAACATGCTAACAGTCGTCTGAACTGTTGAAAACTGGCAGCAATAAAATGCTGTGTGACCTGCGGGTTGTGCACGATGCAGTATTTGCAGAGGACTGCACTAAAGGAAGACGGGGTGAAGTGTGCCTGCAGAGGTAGCATATAGAGTGCACCGCCGTCACTGGAGGGATGGCTTGCAGACAGCGTGCTCTGTGGTGTGCCCAGGGTTTCTGACTTAGGTCTGGAGCGCTCCTAAGCGGTTTTCATTTCCAACAATTTCCCCATAGGTGCTGTGCTGTAGACCCAGGGACCAGACTGTCACCCAGGTTTTAAGAACTGTGGGATACGGTCCTGGCTGCGAAGTTAAGGTGACCTTCAGAGAGAAGTTAAAACTTGACCCTTAAAAAAATGACTGATACTTTGTTAAGGGAATATATAAGAATGGACACTCTAGAAAGAGGTAACAGCCTGAACACAGAGCCAAGGAGGAAGTATCTGTTTGGGGAATAATGAGGTGTGTTTTACAATAGGTCAGTGCAATCGAGGTTTAGATTGTAGCAATGCCGTACTGTGAAGGCCTCAAAATGAAAGCCATGCTTTAATCAGTAGACTAATGTTTCTCAATATGCGTTTTCATCAAAGTATGTGTAGGATATTAAATATATAAATTCCTGGGCTTTATCTCAGGTCTAGTGGATCCCTCCTTAGAGGGACTAGGAAATCCTGTACTTTAAATAAGCACATCAAATGGGTTCTTGTGGAGGGGTTAGAGACGGGAGACAGGGTTTCTCTGGAGCCCTGGATGTCCTCGAACTCGCTCTGTAGACCAGGCTGGCCTGCCTCTGATTCCCGAATGCTGGGATTAAAGGCATGTGCCTCCCCCACCTGGCATAAATGATACTTATAATCAGATCAGTTAGGGAAGTCTTACACAGTAAATTCTCATCTTAAGTAATAAAAACCAATGTCAAGTTGACAGTGTTGTAGCTGTGTGCCATTTTACAAGAGTTACCTGAACAAGTGTTGGTGTGTTCAATGTGTGCAATGCCAACAAAAAACCGGTTATTTATACTAACCCCTTATAGGAAACCAATTACTGCTGTTCTTTCCATAAAGTGAGTAACCACCCTAAATATTCCTAGTTACAAGTCAGGTTTGTGTTTATTCATGGAATGAATCATATGTTAGAGCTGCTAATAAAATCTCTGTGTGGAGCTGGATGCAACTCGGTGGTAAGAGCCCTGGCTACTCTTGCAGAGGTTTGGTTTCCAGCACTTCCATGGCCTTCCAGCCACCTCTAAATCCAGTTCCAAGGGATCCAACAGCCTCTTCTGCCCTCCATCGGCACTGCACACATTCGGTACACAGATACACATGCAGGCAAAACATTGTACACTTTTAAAAGTTTCATTTGAGAGTTAAATGTCTTCAAATGTTTCCTCATTTTAGACATTCCTCAGGGGCTATATTTGTCATCTTGTTAGCATAATGGCATCCGCCTAACAGGTATGTATTAAGAATTTAATGAGCAGCAGGCAGTGGTGGTGCACACCTTTAATCCCGGGACTCAGGAGGCAGAGGCAGGTGGATCTCTGTTAGTTAGAGGCCAGCCTGGTCTACAGAGCGAGTTCCAGGACAGCCAGGGATGTAACACAGAGAAACCCTGACAACAAACTTAATAAGTAGCCATTGCATAAAAGCTTTTAGATCAAAGATGGATGGCCCCAAAGTAGCTGTTGGGGTGCACACATACACACCCCCCACACCACACCTCCCACACCACACACACACTACCTACACACACCACACAAACACACCACACACACACACACACACACCATGCACACACCATACACACACACTATACACAAACACACACACTACACAGACACACACACAGATGTTTTTGAAAACCACTTTAAAATGGCCTACTGAACAATGGGGTAGGAGGAGATAATGGAATATTCCTTTGAATTACATAAGGACTTGAGAAGCAAACCTTCAATAGATGTATTATCGGCATAAAAATACTGTTCCTAGACCTCACTCCTATACTTTCTAGTCCTCTCAAACATATCTCACTACTCACAGATGCTCTTCATCAACTGTTAGTTGGTGTATGATCACAACATATAAATTGTTATTATTAGCATAAATGAAATTAATTACAAAATAATTCTGGAAGTTCTATTCTAGAACCAAATAAATAACTTTGAACTGTTCTAAATTTTGACATGATATACTCCTTAGTAGAGTCATGTCTTTATTGTGAACCTGTCTCTAGGAAATATCCTCACCAGGCATAGTAGGAACCACTCTTTGCGAACCCCTAGCCTGGGGTCATAGGGTCATAGTCACCTGTGGAGCTATAGATGCTAACTGGTGTCTGCATTTAAGGACATTAAGGGAGTATAAAAGTGCCAGGGAAGACGTTAGGGGAAGTACAAGTGGGTCTTAGCATCAGGCAAGGTCATCAAGCTAGGAATCTCAGCTATGCTGTGGTCAGTGGAACAAAGCAAACATCCTCTAAGCCAGGGAGCAGGAGATGGACAGCCCAGGGCTCGGAGGGAATCTGGATGTTAACAGGGCTCCTGGTGATCTTGTGCATACTAAAGTGTAAGAAGCTCCTAAATGATATTGCCATTTTAGAAAATCCAACCCAAAACACATCTCAAGAGTGATGACTGTTCCTGTTTTCTGCGCGTTTCCCACTTTGTTATGTTCTCACTGTGTAGCCCTGGCTGACCTGGGGCTCGCTCTACAGAGCAGGCCAGACCTTGAACTCAGAGATCCTCCTGCCTCTGCCTTCTGGTGCTGGGATTAAAGGTGTGTGCCTGTGTTCTGCTTGTGTTTCCTACTTATAAGGATATAAGTTTAATTGTCTTTCAGAGTTGATGGAGGAAGGTCATTGGCTAATAAAGGCACTGCCCTGGCCCATTTTATTGGTTAGAGGATAGGTGGGAGGAGTAAACAGAACAGAACGCTGGGAGGAAGAGGAAGTGAGCTCAGAGACTCCACAGCTCTCTCGGGAGCAGACGCCTCAGAGAGAGACGCCATGCTCCCGGCTCCTGGGCAGACACACGCCATGAAGCAAGCCACCAGGTTAGACATGCTGAACCTTTCCCGGTAAGACCGGTGCTCACAGATTATTAGAGATGGGTTGATCGGGATGTGAGAATTAGCCTGTAAGTGCTAGAGCTAAAGGGCCAAGCAGTGCTTAAAAGAATACAGTGTCTGTGTAATTATTTTGGGGCATAAGCTAGCCGCCAAGCAGGTGGCCGGGGTGCTGGGAACGCAGCCCCGCCGCCCTTATTACTTCACAGAGTAGGTGTTCTTCAGCAACTGTGTAATTACATTTTTAATGCTCTTGCATCAGCCGGGTGGTAAGCTTGAGGGTACTCAAATTCTAGAGGGCTCCAGAGTTCTATTTTAATTGCCATAATAAAAGCAGATAATTCACAAGAGTCATCTTTATTTCTGTTTGAAAACCTTCCCCTAGCCTAACAGATCCCTTAAAGATTCTTACACACGTCAGCAAAAACCCACAGAAACATCGGGCAGTGGTGGTGCACACCTTTGATCCCAGCCCTCAAGAGGCAGAGGCAGGCGGATCTCCGTGAGTTAGAGGCCAGCCTGGTCTACAGAATGAGTTCCAGGCCAGCCAGGGCTACACAGAGAAACCCCGTCTCAAAAACAAACAACCAAACAAACAGAAAACAAAAACCTCTTACCATTCATTCCAAATGATTGAGAAAAATGTGAGTTAGCTTGCATTTGTACATACATGTTACAGCTATGATTTTTTATGTAATAAAAGGAA